ATTCATCCACCGCTCGACCCCGGCGCGCCTCCTCTCCATGCATCACCAGGAAGTTACTTCGACCTGAGGTACATAGTCGCTATCTCCAGGGTCTCCAGTACTGGTCTCTTCACAGACGTCACCTCAATCCACCCCCATCGCCTGTCCCGGTCCACAGCACCGTTGCACCTCACGAAGTACTCGCAAGGCGGTTCAGTCATCAGCGCCCAGGGTTTTCGACGTCTCTGCACCGTTGCGCGCTTCTTCAATTGATCGCGTCGAGCATTAGTTGACAGCACTTGGTCGCCGACAGGCTGCTTGCGTCAACGCAGGGCAAACCCATCAAGGACACGAAGGGCGAGTACACACACTGTTCGCAAGTACACCTCCTACCTACCTTGCGAACCAAAGGGCCCCTCACTTCCTGCCACCCTAATCCCACACTGTACATCGTCCACCATTCTTGCCTTGAGGAAGAGCTCTCTTATCACAAGACGACGACATTGCTTCGAATCATCAGTATTGTCTCTCGTTCTCTCAACGCAAGGCATCGGGACCGCGCGTCTCGACACACATACACACACACACACACGCCCAGGCGCGCGCGTGTTTCGGTCGCACCTCATCACCCCGAGCCTGCTCTGCTTCCCTTGTTGACCCGTGAGACGCCAGCCCGCATCATCATCATCACATCATCCCGCACGAAGCGCCCACCATTTCTCGGCGGCACCAACATTGTTGCTTCCACTGCTCCTGCCACCACTCTGACCTCTTCTGAACTTGACCGACGGCAAAGGAAAAGAAGAATCCGACGGCACGGGCCTCAACACCAATCGCGCATCTGCAGTTGGACCTGTTCACACATTACATTTTCCAGTTCCATTTGCTGGCGCCGCCCCAATTAAGCCCGCTACGACTTGGCCAACAAGCATTCCTGGCACCTCCAAAATCCCCAAGGTCTCAAGGTCTCCATTTTTTCCCTCTCACACCCCCCGGCTCCGGCTCGCTCGCCTCTTCTTCCCTCCCCCAAGCCCCAAAGGTCCCAGAGGCCCCAGAGGTCCCAAAGTACGGATACTTGAAGCGCGCACACGCCAGCCACCACCTTAATCCACCCTTCGCGCGAGTATCTTTTTCGTTACCTCCAATCTTCTCCCTCTTACAACGCTCCGAAGTACCCTACCCTTACCTACCTGCCTTTACCCTACCGATCAGTCCCCCCCCCCCGTCTCGCCCACGTTCAGGCGCCATTTTTGGTACGTGCACCGAGATACCTTGGTCCTCTCCAAAAACACGCGAGGCCCAGGTCCATTGTCACTCGGTCGAGGAGAAATACCTTCGTCCCTGGCACTCCGATACCACATCAACCCTCACCCAAAAGCCCACGCTACATCGCCCGTAAGTACCTCATGTCTCTCCTTCATCGCTTCCTTCCGTCACTCGACCTGAAATCCCCGTCCACAACCTCCTGGTACCTCACCCCCCCCTCCCCAGCCAGAAACCCCCAAGCGCGACTGGCACGTACCGGTTTACGTCGGAACACATTTGTCGCGGGTACCACAACATGGGGGTCTGAAAGCATTTTCACGGCTGGGGTCAACGGGTGGATTGAGTCGCGTCCCGACCCGCGTCATCGCGACACAGACACAGACACGCACACCCACACACCACCACCTAGGCATCGCACGTCAATGACTTGATGTTGGCCGATCGTCACGGAGCAAAGTCAATCATCGAGCCTCGCGTGCGATTCATCGTCTTCACACTTTTGTGAGATTTTGTTATATTGGTGTACGACCAACGGCTACACACCCTAGCGATCCTGCATCTCTTTGTCACAGCTGGCCTGCGCGTTGCGCGTTGCGCGTCTCGTGTATTTTATTCACCAGTGTACCAAAAGCTGATCAAGTACCCTCCAGAAAATGCAGCAGTGGCAAGTCGGCCCCGTGCCGGAGTACATCTACTCCAACTCCACTCATCAGCCGAACGAGATCCAGTAAGTACAATACATTTACTCCGAGTCTCATTTCAACCTATCTACTCCATTGGGCGCCTTTCACGTCCTTTGCAGCACCCTCTCAAGGGCTGCTAATCCATCATCCACGTCTCTGAGCTGCATTGCATGTCCGGCCCCTTCGCTGCCAACATCCTGGCCACAGGCTTGAGGGCTCTCACATACAAGCACTTAGATCAATAACCCATTCAAATGCGCCGAGCTTTTTGTGAGCCTCATCCGGGGACTTCTTGCTGACTGCCCTCTGTTTCCAGCTCCCAACATCCTTATCAGGCGCAGCAAACCCAGCAGCAGCCTGATATGCAGCATCGGGACCAGCGCCAATTCCAATATGGTCCTCCTCAAGGCAGTCCTGCCGCGCAGCACCAGCAGCACCAGCAACAGCAGCATCAACAGCACCAACAGCAGCAGCACCATGCTACTCCCGGACAGCCTGCCATGGGTGTGACTCAGCAGCAGCCTGCCCAGCAGCAGCCTTCGTCACAAACTCAGCCGGCCACTCAGCAGGCCCAACCTGCTGTCGCAACACCGGCCCCCAGTCGCCAGCGCAAGAGGCCGGCACCCTCAACAGCTTCGCCAGCCGTGACAGCTACCCCCCCTGTTCCCGCCGCTACAGTTCCCACCCCAACTGCCGCGCCGGCGACCGTGCCCGTGCCAGCCGCTGCTGCAGCTCCCCCAGCGGTCTCCGATGACGCTGGTGCTGCGCCCGTTCAGCCTCCGCCCGCAAAGAAGAGCAGAACAAACACCCCATGGACGCCCGCGGAGGAGCAGCGCCTCAAGCAGATGCGAGACGCGGGCAACAGCTGGGCTGAGATTGCCAAGGTTCGTAACAGTCCACCCGAGCAAAGATGGCCACCCAGGCACTGACCGTGTGTACTTCTAGACCTTCCCCACTCGCACCGAGGGCAGTGTCAAGAAGCACTGGTACAAGGACATGCACTACGCCGAGTTTGCCGAAGACGAGGTTTGTCATGCACATGCTGACGTCTCGCTCCGCGCATCGCTAACTGCCAGCAGAGCCAAGCTCTCCTCAACGCCATCAAGGAGTACGAGAGCAATAAGTGGAAGGTTATTGGGCAGAAGGTTGGCAAGCCGGCCAAGGCCTGCGAGCAATACGCCAAAGAGCATTTCCCAGGTATGCCTCAGCTTGGCATTGACAAAAAGCCCTGATGAGAACTTCAACATACTAAGCCATTCGCCGGTAGATCTCGGCGCGAAGAGCACACGGTAAACTGTTACGGCCTTCAGAGGATCGGGGTCTGCTAGGGGCTCAAAACTGCGCCTATTCGACATGGCAGTCATGGCGTCTGTTGCCATGCTGTAGCACACACTCGTGGGAATCTAAGGGCGCAAGGGGTGTCCGCTGTTCGTTTGGAGTGTCGGGCTTGTGTGTGTCGCGGTAACGATTCCAACGCCTCGGCTTGGCTCCTGTCGGTCAAGGTGGGCCCTTGCTGTCAGGGTTCACTCAGCCTGACCCCGCCACTTTCCGTCTTGATTATGAATGGGTCTTTCATCAGGGATATTGTTGCTTTCTTTTGCTTATTTGGCACGACCATGTCATATGCTTGTTTCTCTCGAGGTCTGGGTCGGATGGCGTGAATGGGCAGGCCACGGGCTGTGGCCGGGGCTGGAATCGTGTTTCGGTGCCTCCATGAATTCGAGTCTGCCAACGGTCGTCTGTCACCAGAAGCGGTCTCGCGTGGTCGGGCTGCTGATCGTTTTTGTTGTTTTTCTTTCATGGGTGCAGGTTGGGCAATTGTCGTGACGGGGGAGGGAGGCGAACTTTCGATTCAAGGAGCTTATACCCTTAATGATTTGCAATATTCCACTGCTGCAGCTAGCCCTTGTGAGGGCATATCAAAAGGGTGGTGCCAATGTTCCGGGGCTGACTTGAGCTGACAGGCACGAACTTGACCTTTGCATTGTCAGGGTCGCTGACCGGGTCGGTTGACGGCATCGCATGTCGGATTCGCTGTTCGCCCTGCCTGGCCGCAGCCAATCCCGCGCACTGACGAGACGCCACTCATCAGCCAGGAACCAGACTGGGGAAATTGGGGCTGGCTGGCCTGGCATGCATAACTTCCACCAGCCACGCATGCACAAAAACGCTTCGTCTCCACTGGATCTGCAACGTCCTGCCGTTTCCACGTTACGGTGGCTCAACGGCGGGTGTGGAGGTCTTCTGGACGTCGTCTCTCGCTGATGAGTAGGGACGCGTAAATGGAGACATCTGTGTTAGGGCCTGCTAATGGAGCTTTTTTTATCGTTTGTTTGACCGCTTTGGCATAATCTGGATGTCGGTGTTTTTGGATATGTCGGATGACGGTCTTGTGCTCGAGGGTTTGTTCTGTCTTCTAGGTGACGATTGTATTGAGAAACGCATAGCTTGAATTGGAAATTTCCTCTACGGGAAAACATCGACTAGACTTGGCAGTTTCGATGTTTGATACGGGGCGCCATGCGGGTTTCACAATAGGTCTGAGGACAGACTGCTTTCGACGCTGACGATTATGCTTGGTGATCGTTTGCGACTAAGTATGCCTGAGAAGAGCATGCTCCGGGACGAAACCTGGAAAGAGGAAGAAATCCAGGCGAAGGCCTAAATGCTTGATATGCTACAGACCACTCCGTATTAGCCCAAGCAGACGCGCGCTCTGCGGCTGGGTATCGCCCTGCTGGCTACCTTTAACCAGATTTGTTGGAATCCGTTTGGGTTTGTTGGGATAACAGACATTGAGTTGAATCTGATACGGACCAAAGCTCGGCTGCGAGGCCTGTAGTATCATTGTCGTTAGCTCTGACAGATGCACTCAGGGGACCACGGTCATTGAAGCACTGGTAAGTGGACAATGAAGGCCTGCCTAGCACTGAAACGCTGTACCAGGAAAGCACACGTGGGTACTCATTTCTTCTATATATAATCGAATCGAAGGACCGAACTAAAGGTGACACAGAAGAAACCTGAGAAAACACCTACTGCTCACCATCGGATACAACGAGCCTGAAAACACGACAATATTGACAAGTGGGGGTCGTGGGGACCAGAGAGACGGACTCACATTATTCAAGAACGGAATAGACATAGTATGCAGCAGTATTAATGACAAGGCGGGTGCATATGTATGTCTATATGTGCATTATGCTGGCCAGTCGTTTGATGAAGCAGTGTTGGTCTGTTTCGATAGACGAAGCATTGCTGTGAAAGAGCAGCATGTTCGTGACGCAAAGCAGCCCGCAACCGTGATGACGCCCTTAACGGATAGGTACAGCCCTCTGACATGACTGTAGTGGGCACATTTTCCCCACAAGTGTCACGCACCATTGCACAAAAATGTACCCATGTACGCTGTGGGGCTCCACCAAAGTATCTCACTCACAACAGCCAGAGCAAAGCGGCGAGGACGCTGTGCAATCGGTTACCTTAGGCGTGCTGCTGCCCCTGCCCCTGGTCACTAAGCAAGGGTGCCCTCTTCGCCCCGGGTCCATCTCGCGCCATTCCCGAAAGGGGTAATAACTCCAGCAAAAGATGTCCCCCAGTGCACATCACCATTGGCACTGCAGTCCAACAAGCCGCCGATGGCCCCCCTCCTTTTGCCCATTTTGCTCGTTAGCGTCTTTCCGCGCCCCAGGGCTGGACTGAATGTGTTGGTAGGATGGGCACCTCTCCGCTGTGCTCTCCTAGGGGGGCCCAGGTGGATGTGAATTCCGTCGTCCGCTCCCTCTCAGCTGCCCATTTCTCCCTTCCCACTCCTACTCCAGGCTAGGCGTCGACTTCCCACGTTTTCTTCGAGTCCTGTCAGAGTCAGAATAATCAACAGGTCGTCACTCGTTTCAGACCGAATTTCTTCTCCTCCCTCGCTCCTCGTGGATATATTCCTTTTCTTCGACATTTTTCTGCAGGATCCCCCACCATCCGCCTGTCTCAGCTGTCTGTACAACCATCTTGTACCAGTCTTCCCCGGATCGCTACGCGCCATCACCTGCGACCTGCAAGCCTCAACGCCTGAACGTCATACAGATCTAAGGCACCGTCTCTCGGGACGATACAGCAGCTTGCGTTACACGTACTTTGGTCGTCGAACTCTTGTCTCATAAGCTTTTGAAAACACTGCTTTCGAGCCAAGTCTTCGGGTCCGCACCAGTCGATACGCTCAATCGCAGTCTCCCTTCTAAGCGGGGCTGTAATTGTCTTAGCATTCCAGGCATTCCATCTGGTCTCCTCGCATACCATTGACAAGCGCCTGTGCTTGATCAAGGGCCATCGTCCCAACACTTCAGTCGTTACAACCGGCCGTCGCCTTATCTTAAGTCGCGAATCTCTTTCGATCTGCGATCTTTTCCAGTATCCGCAACATCACCAATATCGACATCCAGCGAACTCGGTTCAAAATGCAGTTCTCTACCGTCTCACTAGCTGCTGCCCTCTTCGGTGCGGCCACCGTCATCGCTCAGTCCTCGGACCAGGCTTCTTGCTCTTTGACAAAGAAGTGCCCCGAAGAAGCCCCCTGCTGTTCCCGTACGTGTATCGCGTAGACCTTTCCATTGTTGGCCGATGATACTAATACACTCCTTTACAGAATATGGCGCCTGCGGTGTCGGTGCCTACTGCCTCGGTGGATGTGACCCTCGCATGTCCTTCTCGTTGGACTCGTGCGCGCCTGCGCCCGTCTGCAAGGACATGAACATGAAAATGGACAGCATAGATAGCATCGTCGACGTCAGCAAGTACCTTGGCGACGGCGACAAGGCCGACTGGGTGGTGCAAGGAGAGGCCGTCGAGGCTGGCGGCAATGTGCTCCTCACGATGCCCAAGGGCAGTGTTGGTACCGTCATGGCCAGCTCACACTACATGTGGTACGGCAGTGTCAAGGCCCGCATGAAGACGTCGCGCGGTCGGGGTGTCGTGACGGCCTTCATCCTGCTCAGCGATGTCAAGGACGAGATTGACTATGAATGGGTTGGCGTCGACCTCAAGACATCGCAAACCAACTATTACTTCCAGGGCATTCCTCTCTGTAAGTACTTTCCCAGTTTGTCCAGCGGATTCATGCTAATCGTGTGCAGACGACCAATCGAAGAACATCACTCTATCGGATACCTTCAACAACTGGCACGAGTACGAGATTCAGTGGACCCCCGACAAGATTACCTGGCTCGTCAATGGACAGGTTGGCCGTGTCAAGGAGCGCAAGGATACCTGGAACGAGACCACCCAAGGCTGGGACTTCCCCCAGACTCCGGCGCGTGTGCAACTGTCCATCTGGCCCGGCGGCCTCGAGAGCAACGCCAAGGGCACAATCGACTGGGCCGGTGGTGTGATTGATTGGGAACACGAAGACATCAAGAAGGTCGGCTACTTCTACGCTGCCGTCAGCGACGTCGAGATCAAGTGCTGGGATGCCAAGAGCGCGCCTGGAACCAACAACGGCAAGAGCTACATTTACGACAACTGGCTCGGCAGGAACAATACCGTCATCGACGGCGACGCGGACACGAAGCTCAAGAGCTTCACAAGCAGTGGCCGCGATACCGAGGAAAACGACGACGGCAAGGAGACTGACTCCGCGACCAAGACCAAGTCTGCTGCATCAGCCACCAATACGGGCGCGAGCTCCAACCAAATCCCCGGCGCAGGTGCTGCCAACCCTGGCGGTGGCGTCACGCATGGCGAGGACGGCGACAGCAGCAGCGGCAGCGGCAGCGGCAGCGGCGGCGGCGATGACAGCGGCAGCAGTGGATCTGACATTGGCTCCTCAGGTCCGATCGACGACAGCAACTGCGACTCGTCCGAATTCAACCAAGACATGGGCAACTGCGGTGGCAATTCCCAGGGCCAGGGCTCTAGCACTGGCTCGAGTGGCTCGAGTGACTCGCCAAGCATGGCTTCTAGCCTGGGATTGACCCAAAGCCTCAGCGCCCTCGCGGGTCTTGCCGTGCTGGCCGGTCTGTACCGCCTCTGAGGTGCTGATCGTCCTTGACGCTTGATGTTCTTGTCTTCTTTTGGTTGCATAAGCGTGTTTTCTCACTGGATTGGATGTTCTTGATCTTCTTCTTTTTCTTCCGGGTCGGTCATGGGGCTTCTGTGGCGGTATTCAGGTTTGCGGACCTCGCTTTGCCGTCACCACGCTGTTTTACCGGCATACTTGTTTTGGTGGGCCTCAGACTGTGCGAGTGGAGAGTTTCTCGCGGTGATGAATGATGTCTCTGTGTGTGGTTTTGGAGTAATGGCATGTGCCGTCCGCTCCTTATATTTTTTCCAAGAACAGCTCTGTCATTGTAGCAGACAATTGACCCCAGCACATAATAAACATCAACGGACGACCAGCCGTCTTATATACATACAAGCTGACGGACACGTGTTTGTCGTATGAGTTGTCAATGTCTCATGCGATCCGACGACCGTCGTGCTGATTCGCTGACGCTACTATGAGCTGAACCTCAGCCTGCATATGCTCTGGTTTAAAATGTTTGTACACTCGTCAATGATTGTAACCGCAACAGACTGAGCAGTCTGGTTGCGATTCTGGCTATTTACATTGAGCAGGAGCTTACTAGCAGGGACCTAGGCTGCTCTGGTAAGGATGAACATACCATACTGCCTATCGACCGTGGTTCGCCATAAGGAGCTGCTTGCCTTGATGCACCAACACGTGCGCCTCGGGCCCGTTGTTAGCTCCCGACTGTTCCTGATCATTGTCCTCTCGATGGAAAGTTCATCTTGTCAGTTAGAGGCTATAGGCTCATTCTTGCGGATCGACCGGGAAACTGTGTCACAATTCTCCTTGTCAAATGTCGATCGAGACGAGGCTGTAGACTGGGTGAAATGCACCGAAGGCGAGATGCATGTGCCGACGGAGGATAAGCAGTTCCAATGCATGTGAGCACCATCGCACAGCTCAATCTTAATCTGCGGACCGTCAATTAATTAACGATGTGGAGTTACGAGATTGACTTTGAGTTCCGGGTCAGATCTGAATCAAAGTGACATCGCGGAAATGTTATTGAAAGCGATTCATAGATTCTCGTCATGATTGACAAGGAACCGCTGGGTCCACTCTACACTGCGATTGCAGTACGGTGATCCTTTCGCCCATATTACCCAGCGCTCCATATTAGCCGCAACAGAAGATCGCTCTGCTTGCTTATGTCACCAGGATTGGACGCTGGTCCCCACACCTTGGAGACGCGCACGTGATTCAATTGGCTCATGCGCGACCTGCAAGAAGTTCCCATTCTAACGGCCGTGCTTCGAAATTTGGAGCTTCGCGCGATACAGCTGTCCGACGACGACGACGACGACGAAGCCGCCGGCAGCCGCACACGTATTCACGATGCCCCCGAGAATCTCACCCCTTCAGGTGGCTGCATGCTGCAGCCGTGCCCTTCGACCTGCGGCGACGACCCTCAACCTAGCCTCCCTCTTCGCGAGCCTGTCCATTGGCACTCGACACGCCTCTATTCTGGCGAATCTGAGCGATAACAAGGGGGCCTACAATAAGCGAATCCGTGTTGGTCGTGGTGCCTCGTCAGGCAAGGGCAAGACTTCAGGACGCGGTCACAAGGGCCAGGGACAGCACGGCAAGGTCAAGCCATGGTTCCAGGGTGGTCAGACGCCGCTGGTGGTACAGAGGGGAACGAAGGGTTTTGAGAACAGGTTCGTGGATAGGATGCATTTCTGGCTCCCTACGAGAAGCCCAGAGTATTGTTGTCGAGGCTAACTGGAAACAGGCGCGCCCCCGTCATGTCCAAGATCAACCTCGATAAACTCCAGCAGTGGATCGACGCCGGCCGCATCGACCCCACGAAACGAATCACCGTGAAAGAGCTTGTCGAGTCCAACCTCGTGGGCACCATCAAGGACGGCGTCAAGATCCTCGGCGGCGGCAAGGAGGCTCTGCGCCAGCCCATTGACATTCTGGTGTCCCGCGCCTCGGCCTCGGCCATTCAGGCCATCGAGTCGACCGGCGGAAAGGTCCTTGCGCGGTACTATACCAAGACGGCCATCCGTGGCATCGTCAAGGGCACGACCGAAAACTCGGACAAGCCGCTGCCGCAGGGCAAGGAGCACGTCGAGAGCATCTTGGCTGCTGCTAGGACGACACGCTTTCTCAGGAGGTTGCCGGATCCGACGAGCAGAAGGGAGATTGAGTACTATCGCGACCCCGCGCACAGGGGATACCTGAGCCACCTGCTGAAGCCTGGCGAGTCGCCCAGTCTGTACTTCAAGGTGCCCACGGAGAAGGTTGGCACCTTCAAGAAGGAGAAGACGAAGAAGGTAGAGAATGCGACCGCTGCCCTGTGGTAAAGGAGCGAGGCATGTGTAATTTGTAGTGTATTTCGGCACGTGTACAATACCATGATCATTCTGTGTACAAACCAAGACCACCGAAGCAATACAGCAATCCCATCTGGCGACTCACATTACAGCCCTTGCCAATTGTCCTCATCATGATGACCCCCTTGAACTCGTTAGATGCATACACTCGGCCCGCATACGCGGCTGGGTCCCCCAGAGTGGACCCAGCCACTGCTCCGCACCAGCACCAGCGCGTGTTGCTGCAGGTCGTCCAAGCTCCCGCCCGTGACGAATCAAGTCCACTCCCACTTTCAAGTCAGTCCAAGGCAACCTCGCATCACGTCGTCGTTCTGGTCTTCAACGACATTCGCTCGAATGCTGTGTGGTTGATCAGCCTTTGCGTCGCTGTTGGAACTGAAGAACTCGGATCGCTACTCATTGGTTAGACGGACTTTTGGCTCTCCTCGTTGCTGTCTGCCCATCTCTCTGGCTACCAACCGACAAGTCGCATCGAGATCGCCTCGTTCTGCGCCGCCCGCGGACGAACCCCCAGACCAAAAGGACGAACGCTATCCCACGCACTTTCTCTGCCACGCACACACTCTGTCGCACCCCGAACCACGACATTTTCTACAATCATGTCGCTTTTTGGAACCTCCCCGACGGAGGAATCTCCGGGCATCAGTGCTACTGGCGCCCCAAGCAACTCGCTCTTCGATGAGGGACATCCGTCCAACAAGTCGAATAGCTCCCTCTTTGCCGACGACGACTTCTCCGGCGACGGGGGAGGCTCGCCGTGGGACATGCCCACGCCTCGCAAGCAGAAAACCCGCGCCGATGTCCTCCGAACCCTACTCCCCACCTCCGACGCGCCCGATAGCTACATCGACACGTTTGATACCGTCGTGCAGGAAGATGGCAGCAACGGCAGAGTCAATGCGAGCGGCGTCGCCAAGGTCTTTGCCGCTGCGAGACTCGGCGCCGACGAGCAGGCCAGCATCATGGCCATCATTGCGCCCAACGGCAATGACGTCGCCGTGGGCCGCAACGAATTCAATGTCTTCCTCGCCCTCATCGGTCTGGCGCAGGAGGGCGAAGCCATCAGCCTCGACGGTGTTGACGAACGACGAAGAAGTAAGTTTCAGGTTCCATCCCCCGTTCTTCGACTCGACTGCCTCTCCTGCTGCACGCCCCCTCTCTCACGTCTCGGCCGCTGCCATGTCAATTGGCTCTCTGGCTCTTATCAGCTCAATCGGCAATCTCGGTGGGGGTGCACAGCTAATTGCCATAAACAACCTAGACCTTCCTAAGCCCAAGCTCGCTGGCGTGACCGCCGAGCCTGCGATGCCTCCGGTGTCCGAGCTTGCTGCCAAACCACCTCAAGCACCCGAGACGCCTGTCAAGGAGCCGACGCCCGCACCGTCGCCTGCGAAGCCCAAGAACATTGCGCAAGCTCCGATGCAGTACCCTGATGCTGACGACCCTTGGGGCTCGCCCGACCTGCACAAGAACCACAACCACGCACCGGCGCCTCGACCTGCCCAAACCAATGGCGCTGCCTCGGCCAACCATGATAGCAATGGCCAGACAGGATTCGGTACAACACCCAGCACGGCGATAGCGGGGCGCACAATGTCTTCCTACACGACAGCCACTGTCAACTCCAACATTGCCTCGCCGCAACAGCCCACGAGCACCGGAGTTGGCGCATCGCCTGCTGGCGGTGGCTGGGGCGGTGGTTTCTTCGATGGAAGCAATGTCGGCGGCGGTTTCGCGGAGCCCCAGCCCAACCCCGTACTGCCGAGCCCATTTGGTGCCGCTGGCGAGCCCAACAGGCATCTGGCCGCTGCGGAGGCTACGATCACGCCTTCGCTGCGGCCGCTGCCGAGCAACCGCACCGGCGGCGCTGTCGAGGAGAACATTGTCGTTTCCCTGATGCCAGAAAAAGAGGGCCTTTTCTTCTTCCAGCATCACAATTACGAAGTATCCTCCTCCCGAAGAGGAAGTAAGGTGGTTCGCAGGTACAGCGACTTTGTGTGGCTTCTGGATTGCTTGCACAAACGATACCCTTTCCGTGTACTCCCTCTCTTGCCGCCAAAGCGTGTTGCAGGTTAGTAGACTTTCCTGTCCGACTTGAAGACTTCTGACTAATGCTCTGTGCCCCCAAGTCAACGGTAACCATCTCTCCAATGACGGCGCGTTCATCGAGAAGCGACGTCGTGGGCTCGCGCGGTTTCTCAACGCTGTTGTACGCCATCCCATCTTGGGACAAGAACAGCTCGTCATCATGTTTCTCACCGTGCCAACCGTATGCTTGACTCACCCAATTCTGACGCTGATCTTGCATGCTGATCAGACTGTAGGAGCTCACTGTCTGGCGGAAGCAAGCTACAATCTCGGTGCAAGACGAGTTTGTTGGGCGCACTCTGCCCCCCGGGCTTGAAGACTCTCTGCCGGCTACGTTAGAAGAATTATTCGACCGCAGCAGGACTGGCGTCAGACGCTCAGCTGAGCTTTACATCAATGTCTGCAATATTATGGACCGTCTTGTGAAGCGTAGTGACGGCGTAGCGGCCGACCACGCACGTATTGCTCTGTCACTCCAGTCATTGACCGAGCTCAGCAACGACACGTATGCCACCGACACGAATGACGTGCCACTGCTCAACGACGGCCTCACCGCCATGAGCAAGCACCTCAAGACTTGCCAGAGCCTGATGGAGGATGAGAGCAAAGCCTGGGATCAGGGCGTACTGGAGGACCTGAAGCGACAGCGTGACTCACTCGTCGCCATTCGTGAGATGTTTGAACGACGCGATCGACTGGACAAAGACAACATTCCCTACCTGGAACGGAGGATACAAACTAACGAGAGCAAACTTGCGAATCTCCGCGGCAAGCCGGATGGCCTCGTCAAGCCGGGCGAGATTGAGAAGGTGGTCGAGGCCATTATTAAGGTGAGAAGCCGAGAAGATTTCATTAAACGCCAAACACTAACATTTGACAGGACAAGGAATCCATTGTCAATCAGCACAACAGGTCCATCTTCGTCAAGGAGTGCATTCGCGACGAGCTCATCTACTTCCAGTCGACCCAGTACCACGTGTCCCGATGGAACCAGGACTGGGCCCAGGAGAGGGTCAAGTACTCGGAGATGTTGGCAGACAACTGGCGCCGTCTACTTGACGAGCTCGACGGCATGCCTCTCGGCGACTAGTCACCAGCTTGACCGGCATCTGTGTCTTGGCCATTGATTTGTTTTTCTCGGCAGCTTGTATTTTCGAGCCCGCATCCCATCTCTCTTTACTTGAAGCGATATGGCGGTTGATGTAGATGAGAAGGGGCCAGGTGGTGTGGTATGCCTGTATCGTTGTACGAGACCTGGTCCGTCGTCCTTTTTTTTTGGTTTTCGCATTGTTCTAGCCATCGTGTACAGTCATCATTCTCTCAGACATTCTGTTGCTGTATACCCTCTGCGCAGACTGCTTTCAATATCTACTCGTCCGTGTTGCCATTTCAACTTGTTGCTGTTGCGCGCCATGTGTTTTTCGCATTCGGCCGTGGTGATTCTGGTAAGTACATCTAGCGACAAAGAAAGGTCTTGGGTCGTGAGCATTCCTTCAGGATAATACTTGGCACTGCGACGCAAATTGTGCGCAGGAGCTGCGCAAGGATGCTAGGCTCATGTGGTCCCCTGCTTATTTTGCGGTGCTGGGCCATTTTGGTAGTCAAGGAAATGAATAGCGACTGTGCCGCAGAGCACTGCCTTGGTAAACTGGGGCCAGCCATCCTTCCGTGGAGACGGTAACATCTTTGCTGCCGACAGAAACGTACGATATCAGACGACGTTGAAATCATAAAGCCAGGCGGCTCGCTGGCGATCAATAGCCGTTGCGGGAAGCTGGACATGGAACATATGCATCCGCGCATATCACTCGATTCTCAAAATTACGCTATTCCACAAGAGACACGATGCATCACTCGTCTCTCTTCATCTTGGGCTTCTTGACCGCAACGGCCACGGCTTCCCAAGCCATAAGCCCCAACCCTCTGCAAAGTCTTTCCAAACGCCAAGATGATGCTGATGAGCCTCACAAAGATGGAGAGTTTCTAGGGGGCGACCTTGGCGTATGTATTGAAGGCATGAACGACGTCTTCGAGGCCGATGCTCCCAAGCCCGCACCAGCTTTATCAGAGTGGATGGAAGCCAACCCATTCACCACCCCCTCGGAGTCGTCCGGCCCGGGCGGCGTGTGGTGCACCATGACATACCCCGCCAGTCTCTCCGAGCTTGTCACCCCTTTCTACTCCAGCCACACAAGCTGGTGGTCCAGCATCAGCAGTGCGCTCGGCGGCACATTCACATACGAGTGTAACAACGCCACGCTGACGGCCAACTTGATCGGCAACGACCAGTACGAAGGCTGTCCTGATGGATACGGTGTTCTCTTCACCGGACCGGGTGTCACAACGTTCGCCCCTCTGGACACGGTTCCCTCCACTACCCCCTCGGCTGCCAGAGCGACGCCTACTTCCGAGGCGCTGACGAGCCTGGTATCTGAAAACGAGACCACGAGACCTACTACGGTAACTACCACGTCGCCTCCTGAGGTGACGGGTGCCAATGGGGCGAGCAGGCTGACCGGAGCTGCCGCTGCCGTGATTGCTGCGATAGGAGCTATTGGGGCCTTGGCATTATGATAGACGACTGGAAGATAGTTGATCTGCTAGGTTGCCAGTCATGGGGTTGTTGCTGATGAACAAGTCGCTCGGTTATCTTGCGCGGTTTTGCTCACTGAAAAGGTACAAGTGCGGTGAAGAGCTAGACATACATGATAAGACGACTGCCTACAGCATACAATCATTCCAAGAGGAGTCCCATCGACGGTGGCAGCGCTCATTATGAAGAAGAAATGATCATACACCTTGTGTCTCCCAGATCAGTGCCGACCTGATGAGTGTATGGCCAAGCGTCAGCTCACAAGCACATAGAACGAGCGCTGTGTACCATAAAGATACTAAGTCATGTATTTGAGGTCGCTTGAAGCATTCTAACCTTCCAAAAGACCATCTTGCCCATCGTGTATTTCCAAACCATGACTCTCCTAAGACTAGCCAGAGAAACACACCCCGAGAATGGAAAATCGCACAGCAAAGAATGACCTGGCATCTTTGGCGTTCAAGAATGCAGAACTGTTTGCACTCAGTCGCACCACATTTCCACTCGCACACCTTTGGCTTCCATGCCCTCAAGCACCTGGAAGTCGAGTTCATCCTGTCTAAAGGCTACCACAATCATGTTGAACCGCTGGCGAAGAGATTCGCTGTTCCATTCAGAGGTTTCGTCCAGCTTTTTGATCTGTGGCACGGCCTCTTGCTTGACGAGGGGATCAACCCAGGTAACTTCGACCTTCTCCGTCAGCACCAAGCTCCGGGCCAAATCGAGACCAGGAGAGTTGGCTAGATGGGATTGACCACGCTTGAAGCCGATACCAACGACGAGAACAGAGGGCCGGCTAGTGTTGAGTTGGGAGCAGTCTATCGCTGCATCATTGCAAAGGGCTTCTACAACCCTTTCGGCCACAGCTGCGGGACGAGCTCGCATCTTTTCTGTTGCGGCTTTGAGTAAGGGAAATGCTGAGTTGGAAAGCAAATAGTATGGGTTGACTGGTATGCAGTGCCCTCCAACACCGAGAGAAGGGGCGAATGGCATGTAGCCGAAAGGCTTGGTTGACGCCGCGCGGCATACCTCGTATGGGTCAACCTTGTGAGGAGTGCAGGCATCGGCCATCTCGTTGGCGAAAGCTATGCACATCATGCGCTGGCAGTTCTCGTACAACTTCATCATCTCGGCCACTTCAGGGCGACTGACGGGGACGACTTTGTCAAAGACTTGCGAGTACAGCCGGATGATGGCGTTCAGAGACCCAGGAACCACGTCGTCCAACCCAGATACAATCTTGGGGATGGCATGTGCGGGTGGTTCCGTGCGGCCAGGGTCGACACGTTCCGGTGACATGCCGGCGAAGAAGCCGCGTTCCTTAGCAAGGGTGCCGAGGAGGCTGCGGGTCATGCCGACCGCAACAGACGACTCGACAACGACTACAGAGCCCTGTCGTGCGTAGGTGGCAATGTTCTCAATGGCAGACCGCAGGAAGGACGAGTCGATGGTCTGATCTGGGCGAAGAAGTGTCGGCACAGATATGAGAAAGTGAGTGGCGTGGGCGAGGTCTTTCGGCCTGCACGTGAACTTGGCCCTGGTGTCGGAGGGGAAGGTCTCCGCCAGGTGCCGCACTCGAGCTTCCGAGACATCGAAACCGAGGACGTCGTACTTGCGAGCAAAGTTGCTGACGAGGTGCTCGCCAACGTATCCAACCCCGAGCACGGCCACAAGTGGCTCACGATCAAGGTGTACAGAGCTGGAGGCGGCTTCGCAGAGCTCTTCGTCGGATTCACATAGCTCAGTGGGTGGTGTCGTAGGGTAATATTCGTCGACCGTCGAGTAGACCCACGAAAGCTTCCTGTCTGAAGGAACACCAAACTGACAAGCTGGAGATGAACCAGCTGCGAACAGCTCAGGGGTATCAAGATATGGACCTGTAGCCATGTTGGGCACTGATGAGTGGAAAAATGCAACTAAAGACAAAAAGATGGGTAAATAAACTATGCTGGGGCTTTTTGCTTGAAAATCAGAGATGAGACGGTATGGATCAGTGGCTGTTGGAGCTCAGAGGGCGGGAAGGCGGCTCTTCTTGAAAGCGTCGGCTCAAGGTACTCGGGAGCTAGCAGGCGGAAGAGAGCGAGGCGTTCAAACAAGGCAACGAGAAAAGCCAGATTCGTCATATTATCATCAAAGGGTACTTAACAAGGGTCTCTGTATCTTGTAGTAGTAATAATGGGATAGACAAACAAGGGGTAGCATAAGTGGCGTACAGGAAAAGAAGTCAACTAACACGGCTGGATGAACACCACGCCAGCCTCCTAAACGCCTTGCCCGGACTTCACGGATACTCATCTCGATGACCCGAACCTAAAAGGGTAGCAGAGACGAGAGGCTGGGCTGCAGTTGGAATGTTCCGTGCAGACCTCCGCCTGGCCCGGGATGGTAATTTCAGGTAAATCAAGACAACGCACCATGCATATCGTCTTCAGCAATTTGAGGCTACGAGGTGCCGAAGGATCAAAGGTGGTCAATTCAAACCGGATCTGACAGGGAACATTAGACGCATTGACAACGGTAGTGTGTCAGCTGGCCAGCGTATCTTCAGAAAAGACAGATACGGATGACTTCAAGCCGAATGCCAGCCTTGATCGACATGATCGTCAACATGAGCCTGTGTGACTTGGATTATTGCCCGAGTATCCCATGCAACGACCGACGCTTGTTGCCGTGTTGGCGAAACCTGAGTCTAGTCAGGCAGGAAACCAACCTTCCGCATGGCACCAGAGCTATTGGAAATGGCAGCATAGGTGTCTGTTGTAGGCTCGGCCTTTAAAAGTCTTGCAGTGTCAGAATTGGGGGCGCGGGGTTGGTTCTCCTGTGCCCACAAGAAAGACACTCATTGGCCCGGGCCAGTGACCAGACACAGTGAATAGAACAAGTATCAGAAGCCTGACCGACATCTCAGGCTTGGCCCATCTTGTATGGCTATTGTACCCTTAGTGTGTAGCTCTTGTCGACGTTGATGTCTCTTGGTGGATCCAGAACAAATCAAGTGAGGTGGTTGATTCAGTATGGCATATGGTACCAGACTTTGACCAGACAAGGAACCAGAAAACTGGAATCAGAGATCCCAGCAGCTAAGCCCTACAGCGACCAGTGCGGTACAGACCCGTTATGCACGCTATGATTAATTGTCTTGAGTACGTGACGGAGAGACGTTGAAGGCTGTGCGGTCTGGGCGTTAGAACCCCTATTCGATATATTCATAGTAGACGAACAAGGGGTTTAGTGAAGCCCTCTCAACAGGTTGCTTGTTTTGACACCCCCTTGCACCCCTGGGTTGACCATCTGGAGGACGTGGAGGCTGCCACCTTCTATTGTAGACCTTACAAAGGGACTGAACCCTTGCGTCGGCCTACTAGGTATATGATTCCGATTGGTAGACCCCTCCGATCATCTCAAGCCACCACTACTCGGGGGCGGGCTCTGCAACTCACATGTCTCGTCCTTTCATCCGACTGTTGGCGCTACCTCAATCCCACCCTGGTTGCTTTTTCCTCAAAGATCTTTATGCAGGTACTGCAAGGCACGAAGCTACTCACCTGTTTTGCGTCAGCGATTAGCGCTACGCCACGCTTTGTACCAACATGCCAAGGGGCCAGTGCAACAAAGCTCGAGCACACCACCAAGTGTAGCAGTGCTTTGTGGCGATATGTCATGCGAAGCAGAATGAATGGGAACTAAACATTCTATTGATCTTAACAAATAACCGCGACTTCAGCTCGACAACATTGTCATCCGCGCGGTTGCCAGAAATGCAACGTATTGGCAGCAAGGTGTACGAGCTCAGCCTCTACATCATGGTTATTATCCTTCTACCCAATCTACTTCATGCAGCCTTTTTTCGGTTGAACTGGGTGGCGAGTACTGTTCAGGTAGCACAATTGCGGCTGGCCACATTAAATGCATCCAGTTTTCAGCATATTCGGGATTTCTTTATCGTCGGCCAGCCCGATGACACTACAATCTTTCTTTCTACATCTTTGTTCTCCCATCCCAGCTAGCCACTCCCACCACTGATGCCTCACAACCCCGAGTCTGGTTTTGCCAGTCACCTTGAGCACTCTGCAAAAGTCCCACGCGACCTGCAGAGTTTGTCTTAAACCGGATGGCAGCCGCAGCTTTGTGTGAGACAGTCCCCTGTCTATGAATTTTCAGTCAAGATCCCAGTCAAATGAACACCATCGGATCACAGCGTGCGGCTGATAGATTGCAGAGCTTCCCGTCATGATCTGGGTTCGACATTCGGGAGCAAAAACGGTACTGCACGAGCCTAACCATACAGTTCTAAGAGCTTTTCCTCTTTACGACGACAATTTGGTCTGCATAGTTGATCATCGGCTCATGGTACTTACGTTTGAGCCGAACCATAGCAGAGAAAATCGCTTTTAGACTTAAGCAGCGGATTAACTGCATTTGATGTTGAATATGGAGATCAAGTTACGCTTGAGCTACTGCGCGGTAATTCTAACTGTTTGGGTTTTAAACTACTGACAATGTTCCTTGTCTTGAACAGAGTACCTATGCCTACATTATTGATAGGGCACGAGACTTTCTGGTCTGCTTCTTGATGCCGTCACTTTTACGAGTCAATGTCAAAGAAGACCTCATGAGCTCGAGGTCTGTTCGGAAAGGGGTACCAGCTGCAGTCAACCAAGCTCCAAGGCTTTTTCTTGGCCATTTCTTGGCACTGAGGCCCATAACCATCAAAAACATTCGCGTGAACCACAAGTATCAGCTCGTATTGTTCAATCCGCGCTGAATGCCAAGCTTGGCCTCTCCGCCACGCCCTCGTGTATTGGGGCCCGATCCAAGAATTTCAGCCTCTGGCCAACCTCTTGGCTTGGTGAAAGACGCAGCCACCATCCTAATATTTCCCTCCCCTTTGTCCTTTATTGCTTTGTCCAAGCTCCCCATCGACGTTCTTGGCAATTCTTTGCAGCCCTCGGCATTGCTGTTGTTGATTTTGCAATGTCATACAACTTATCCAGTATTTCTAGTGCCAATATTACCCCTCGCGTCAGGGCGAAGAATATCAATATACTCTCGTCCCCAAGCCCAGGTCTTTCTGTGTCAAGGGCCGAACAACTTCTGTTGCTGTTCTTGCTGGCATCACCTCAGTCTTCTTTTCAATGCTTTCCAGAATTTACTCCATCCTGCCCCTTTTGCTGTCAGGCAGCATTGTTCTGGGTGCCAATGTCAGTTCACCCTTAGTCAAGCGTGCCGAATGTGGACCTGGAGTCGGTTCTTGTCCGGCCGGAAAGTGTTGCTCAGAGGCAGGCTGGTGTGGTAACAGTGCAGCTCACTGCGCAGGTTCTACCTGTCAACTCGACTACAGTGACAGCTGTGATACTTTGTAGGAGATATCCTATGCTCTTCAACTAGCACATACCAATCAATTGACTTAACGTTTCGACAGCTTTCCACCCCCTGGAATAAGCACAGAGAGTGTTTCACGCCCCGAGATTGGGACAGTTCCTTACGGTATATACCCATTCTTTACTGGTCAGGAGACAAGACCCCAGTTCTCATCTAATCTTCTTTCTAGGCAATACTATAACGGAATGCACAAAACCGGGCCTCATGGCTCTCACCTTCGACGATGGTCCCTTTACCTACACATCGCAGATTCTCGATATTCTCGACAATCTCAATGTGCAAGCGACATTTTTCGTCGCTGGTAATAACAAGGGCAAGAAAAGGATCGACGACACCAATATGGCTTGGCCTGCAGTTCTGAGACGCATGCATGCTGCCGGCCATCAGATTGCAAGTCATTCCTGGTCTCATCGCAACCTAAATCAAGTGAACAGCACAATCCAGCGTACTGAGATCATCTATAACGAAATGGCCTTCCGGAACTTGTTTGGCTGGTTTCCCACGTACTTTCGCGCTCCATTCCTTGAGTGCTCTTCGACTTCAGGCTGTCAAAGCCTCATGAAGACCCTTGGATACCATCTACTTGGCGTCAATGTTGATACCAAGGACTACATGTACGGCAGCCCGACCCTGATACAAACGGCGAAAGACAGGTTTTCCCAGGCAGTGTCTCAAGATCCTACGGGAAAGGGCTACATCGTTCTTGCCCACGACGTACACGTCCAGACCGTAGTAAATCTGACACAGTACATGATCGAGACGTCAAAAGCACGCGGCTATCGCCTGGTTACCGTAGGAGAGTGCCTCGGGGATCCCAGAGCGAATTGGTATCGACCCGTTAAACCGAGCCCAAGCACGACAAGGACAAGCGCCACAACTGTCTCAACACGAACTTCCTCCACTGCCGTACCAACGTCGAACTCTGGTCTTAAGATATCCCCTGACCAGACATGCGGTGGTGGCGCCGCTGGCTTCACCTGCCAGGGCTCCAAGTATGGGAACTGTTGTTCATTCTACGGCTTCTGGTGAGTCAATCTCGATCTTTCATGCACTTAGACACACACCGCAAGCTTCCTGCCTGCAGAAGTGATTGTCGATCTTGGGTTGTTTCGGCCGACTAATGGTCTTGGCAGCGGCTCCAGTCCAGCCTACTGCGGCACGGGATGTAACACCGGCTACGGAACATGCACGCAGTTGCCAGCAGGTCTCAGTGATACCACCAACGGGCTGTGTGGCACACGATTCAACGCCTCGTGCAAAAATTATGGTAACAAGAACTGCTGTTCGCAGTCTGGCTTCTGGTATGCTCTCTCCCTTTCCTTTCTCTCCCTACTCTTCGGCTTGCTGACAAGCGAACGAACAGCGGAAGCTCAGCAGCGCATTGTGGCGTGGGATGTCAGAACGCTTTCGGCATTTGCGGTTGAAACGTTCGGCATTGAATGGTTCGACCGTATTAGTAGCTTTGACGGCTCGAGAAGAGGCTGTATTTTGTTGTCGAGAAGCGGCATAGTACATGTAAAACCTCGATATGCCCAGATAGTCAGTTGAATACATGGAAAATCGTCAGGGTCGCAGCACTAGGTTGGCACATGTCTGTGGGTTCTTAGCAGGTCCAATTTTGATGAAATGGATGGCTTCACGCTCACCATCAAGCACAATTCCGATCACTTCCATTGCACCCACCTATCATTGCGCCCGTTCAGATTAGTCCTCACTATGATCACATCATTGTTTTACAAGCTGTTTGACTGTACTTTGATTGAATTCTGATGAACATGCCGTGTTCGCCAAGTAGTGGCTTGGAACCATGGACGGGCCCTGCTTCGTGTCACATAATCAAGAGTCACACGTATCATTCCCCGGACCGCGAGCCAATGGCTTGTCAACAGCGCCCTAAACAAGTGGAAAGGGGACAAGATGCGGAGGACCGGTTATGTTCCGAGTAGTCATAAATCTTCCGGGTAAGGTCTGTCGGGCGACCATTCGCCCGACAGCCAAGTAGACAAAGAACAACAAACCTCGCTTGCTGGTAGCACATGGAACCATTGTCGATCTTTGTTGGTTCAATGGTATTTCTTGGGTCATCGCGCCATTGATCAATCAGGTCATTGAGTTACCCATGGACCTGCCAGATACAGAAGAAGCGAAAGAGACATGGATGATGCTTGCCGCAGACTAGCGAGTCTAACCCTGATCGTGAGGAGCCCTGTTGGGAGAGATCCTAATACTGGGAGAAGGAAAGCTGCGGGAGCCACAGCTTTGCCAAGATTATTCCACGCCGGCGAGTCCAATGTACGGGACAGCAAGGACCCAGGGGTGACAATCATATGCGGTACTCCATGTGGGTAGTGATCAGCCCTCGAGCATCCCGGAAACCCCCAACTATTCCACGGCTCATCAACAGCTGTGGCTGTTGCGGATTCATGGTTAATTGCGCATGGATTACAATTGCCGTCCCGTCCCTTGCCATGCAAGGATGAGTACAAGAGATTGACGCAGGCTGATGGGAAGACCCGAGTACATGTGGAGGGGGTGCAAATGCGTTGGAGGTAACTGATAATACAGTACTTATGCCAATAAGCAGTACGATCTGACATCACACAAGCACAAAGCAAAAACGCCTCCACATCGGGCGGCATCCCGCGTCTGCCAACGTCTATAGGAACCAAAATTCTTGGTGAAATGGTACGCACCGAGTCGGGTTAAAGTCCATTACCTTGACGCGTCGTATTCGAATTCAATCTTTGTTGCACAAAGACCACCAGCTCAGCAGCTTCCAAGAACCGTGGCTTTGCAAACACGCCCTATGATGAACACCTCCTTTCAGCCTCGCGCTTCTTAGACGCGAGGGCCACATGGTTTTGATTGTTTCTGTTGTTCTTTGCCTCGTATTTACAACTCCAAATATTTTGCTGGGAGTTACGATACTTGCTGCATTGTCTCTCTATTCACCCCCTCATTGAGAGAGTTCAGGTCATCATTTATCTTCTCGCTTAGTCCAAGATGAGGTCATGATTTCTTCTAAAGTACGCCTGAGTATCGGCAAATACTGACCGAATCCACACAGTTTACAAAATATCGTTTACGGGAAATATTCCAATCAGACATCAGAGTCAAGTTCGTGGGGGAGGCACGGAGAAGCACCGAAAGGTTCATCACGTCAGCCCGCCTTCGGGGTATTAACCCGGTGCATGGGCCATTTTCCCTTTGTTTGCTGTGCTGTGCAAGTCCTATTGCTCCGTCTCATGGGGCCGTGTGACCTTTGTCTTGGCTTGCTTTTGCTCAACAACTGTCAGCGATGCAACGGTATCTGGACCACATACCCGGCATACCCTGGCCCACGTCCTCGGTCTCCCAGGGTCAAGATCCTCGTCCTCATGTCGCGTTCTGTGTACCTGTTGCACATGCCGGACCTAATCCCGGACCTCGAACTCGACCATCTCGGGCACTACTGCATATGCTTGCACACAGCGCCATCAGCTATAGCAGCCAGCACCAGTGCAAGGGTAGAAAGGCTGGACGGTCAATAGGTCGGGAAGGGTGCCAGCGCATGGCCAGCTTGTTGGATCAGCCCTGGAGTTCACCGACACACTGGGATGTGATAGACCGTACTGCTATCCGATCAATTGCATCAGTGTCGATCTCAGATTTTCCCTGTTCGGAACCAAGTCTTGCAGGGTCTAATTGTTGTTCAGCTGACGGCAGGTGAGTAGATCACCCGCTTGCCAGACTTTCTCATCTCAGCTTGACTCGTGAACAAGCATCTACATGTACTCTACCCCATTCTTGAGAGACACTCTTCTGCATTGGTGTCTAGGATCTCCATCCTCCATGCTTTCTTTGGGAGGCACCACTGTCAAGTTTAACTTGGTGGCTTGGACTCGGCTCAAATACCTGTCAACACCTTACAGGGTTGAAGCCGCTTGACCGAAGCGACGTCTGCAGCATCCATTCCGGTTATGTCCGTGCTCGTGTTGTCAAAGCCCCTTTCTTTGAACCGTCGTGGTTGCAATATTACCTCGCGTCCTCCGCCGTAAATTGCCAGATTATCTGTCTCGTCAGGGAGCCCTCTTTGTCCATCCTCGGCATTGGGATACACACTCGTTACTCCTCATTGTCTCCTATTGTATTCTTCACATAGACTTATCATCTTCCCCTCCTCCTACAGAAGTATATTCATCCTCGATACTTGCTCGGTTACAGGTTTACACGTGGATTCGCAATATCTACTGGCCAAACTTTGCTCCGCCTTCGCCATGGCTAGCACCACTGTCGCGAGGTCTAGCCCTCCGCTTCCTCCTATCCCACAGTCCCCTTCTGAGATGGAGGGCGGTTATCTCGCTGCAACAAATCCACAAGGCCGCCGCAGCTTGTCTACACACATTCCCAGCGGGCAGCAGTCCTCGGCCTCGGTGAGACAAAATTGATCGATCCTTCAGCATTCGCATGGCCACTAATTTGGCACCAGTCTATTGGTCCTGGCTTCCGTCCGGATGATCTTCCACTCGGAGCACGCACGCCAACGTCAGGTCCTGCCTCATGTTTCTCTCGCGGCGCCGACTCAAGTGCATCCTTCCAGTCCTGTGTCCAACAGGAAGAGGCTAAGGTACGGTGGGACTCTGACAGCGAGCTCAAGGTCGTCTCAAGGTCTTTGCTTCGGGTTCAGAAGTGGTCACTACTCATCGGACTCTGCTGCATCAACGCCGCACTCATTTACGTCGCCTTCACATACTACCAAGCATGGATCCTCTTTGTTATCCTTCTGTCTTCGAACACCATGCTTCAGTTCATCATGATCTTGTGCATCGTTGCGCACACATTAGTCACGCGTGTCTTGTGCTTCTGGATTTTCCGGAAGGAGAACAAGCCCGAGAGCCCAGAGCGGTTCGTCATGTTGTTGCCTTGCTACAACGAGACGCTGGGCGAGCTGACCAGATCGCTGGATTCTCTCATCGCACAGAAGAATATCGACGACCACCCGCGAACCATTTTCATCGTCGTCGATGGCAATGTCAAGGGTCCTGGCATGGAAAAGACCACGCAGCAGTATCTCCTGGAGGACATCCTCGAGCCTGGCCCCTCCCGCACGTTTGAAAACGGCTACCGCGCGCGCGATGGCCTGTTCATGCCTACCAAAGTTCAGACGGGTTTCTACAAGGGAATACCGTATGTCTTCGTCGGCAAACGCTACAACCAAGGCAAACGCGACAGCTTGTGCTTTGCGCGTTCCTTCATCTACCACTACCAAGTGCGATCCGCCAATGTCATGACAATGTTCAACAATGACCTGTTCGAATATATCGGAAACGCTTTTATGCAGCACGGTCTGGAGCACATTGAGTATTTGGTGGGTATGGATGCCGACACGGTGTTTGACCAGTTTTGCATCTGGGAAATGATCCGCGAAATTCGCAAAAACCCCAAGCTTGTTGGTGTCTGCGGCCACGTGTGCGTGGACTATGACGGGAGCAACTGGGGTCTGTGGTCTCTTTACCAGTCCGTCGAGTACTCCCAAACCCAGGGTCTTCGTCGTCTCTTCCAGTCACGCATCACGGGAAAAGTCAACTGTCTTCCAGGCTGCTGCCAGCTCATCAAGGTCGATCAAGCTACGTTCGGAGATGAGGTTCTGCGCGAACGCTTCGGATACTGCCCTAAGCCCAACGACATTATGACGATGCACATCATGGGTAACTACTCAGAGGACTCTATCCATGCGAGCATCATATTTAGCCTCTTCCCCAAGCGACAGACAGCCCAGGCGCTCCGTGCCAAGGCTTTCACCATTGTCCCTCAAAACTGGACCGTTTTCCTGTCACAGCGCAAGCGTTGGGCGCTGGGCTCCATTACCAACGAATTTGTCATGATATTTCGCCCAGGCATCATTCTTGTGGAGCGTCTTCAGTCCATCGTCGCGGTCTTGACGTGGTTCATCACGCCCTTCATCATGGCGGCCGTCGTCAAGCTGATCCTCATATTGATCGAGCGGGGTGATGAACTGGTAAAAGATCCGGTTTCATGACTCTCATTTCTATTCTAGCTTGCCGCTACGTGAGTAAACTTTGGCTGCTTTTGCTTGACTTGATCGTTTGCTGACTCGTCCTAGTTCTACTCGCTCTGCATTGGCTTCTGGCTCCCCCGCAACTGGTTCGAGAGCGCACAGTACTTTGTCGGGTACTTTTTCCACTTCATCACCTCGCCCTTCTGCAACGTGGTTGTGCTCGTCTACTCGCTCTTCAACTCGGACGATTTCAAGTGGGGCAAGACACGCGAGGTCATCGACCCGGAAGGCGAAAAGGGGGATGGCCTTGGTGGCCGTGGAACACATTAAACTGATGAATGCGCAGTACAGCAAAAATTCTGGGCTCTGATGGCCCTCCTGGGTCTCTTTCACGCCAGTAAGAGGGATATGGCCCGGCCTTGATGCACTGCATAGAAAATCGGGCGGAGCTGCACTGCACAAGGCTGAAGACGACGGGAGCATGAGCCAAGACGTGGACGGCCGATCGAGACAGAACCATGTGGGGGTCTGCAACAGACCGGGGCCTCTTTAATTACAGTAAAGCTTGTTTTTTGGTCTGATATAATAGTCAAGACGTTTTCTTTTCCTGCTCGTGCGGATCGCTTGGATGTCTCTATGAAGAAGCCCAACTTGGGCCGGTTTCTCATAGCGCCGAGAGCCAGCAATTGCAAAGCATCATTATCCAGTGGGCAGGCCACGACAAGCAACAGACATAAGTCAAAGATAGTACTCGAGGGTATAACAGCCACGGCCAACAGCTGCAGTACCTCAATGGAAGCTCATTCGCCATGCATCTCTGCCTTTGTTTTCCGAGATCAGCTGTACTGTGGCCTTCGTATAGACTCCATCTCGTTACGTGCTAGAAGTTCTTGTTGGAGGAGAGGGGACGTGCAGCAGAAACAACACGCCGCTGCAAGCCCTCGGGTGCGACACTTGCCGTTGTGAGGCGCCGAGACCGAAACCCTCGAACTGTGCTTTGTTGGTGAGACAGCATCACTAGCTTCAGGGGGGACGAGTGACCAGCCGGCCGCCATTCGGCCGCGGCTCTATGTATGTGTTGTTCAACCTCCGAGCGGGTAATGTCGCCAGGGCTTGCAATGATGTGAGGTCGAGAAAAGGTTGGATCGTTTGCGGGCGCGGCTGCAGCGACCCGATTCAGGGGGGCTGGGTTGGAGAAAGGGGGGGTCCAATGAGCAAGAGTCGGTTATCTGAAAGGGGTTCAATTGAGTTGACCCTTGGCGTATTTGTTTGCCCGGGGCGGGTTTCACTGCATTCAGTGCTGCAGGCACAGAATCGGCAGCACACCTGTAGGTACCTTGGTGGGGGTCGACGTTGCTGAGGGGCGCTGATCTTCGGTGCGCACCTTGCCGGCATTAGGGGATGAGCTGCCTATACGAACAGTGGACAGCCACTGGAAGGCCAGTGCCAAGCCAATATGTGCAAGCCAACAGTGTTTTCTTTCCGATGTCGATCCCCTTGACCTTGTCTCTTTCATCACCGCATGATAGCCCAGCCCTGTACCAGCCGCATCGCTCGTATCGCCCTTGATGGCGGTTGAGAACACATCTATCCCGAGTGGGGCTGACTCACGGCCAACCGGGATGAGAGCCAGCACAGGCTGATGATCTTTTCGCCATGTTGTCGTCCCAGGCTTCCGCTGTGGTGGCCAGTGACTCTGGCTACCCTCGTGGCTTGACTATTGCTTCTTTTTTTGCGCCCAGAGCATGCTGAAGAATGCATTGAATCTTCAGCCGATTTGGAACCGAGCTGAGGCCTCGGTCAGCGCTGCTCAGCCGACGCTACCTTGTTGCTTCGCTCTGCTTCAGCCAGCCGCCCTGCCACGAGGATCACGAGCAAGCATGGCGCCCTTCATCTCTTTGTTCGGCCCATGCTCTGCTACGTTTATACATAGAACCGCGATATATTGTTGCTTTTTCTTAGGCCTTGGCTAGACTGACTTGGGCTCTTGTAGCAGACTGGTCGAACAAGAATCTCGGTTTGTCTCCAACCCGTCTTTTCAAAATAATTTCTTGATGCAAATGCTCTTACCTCGGCCTCAAAGTTCTGAGTTACTGGCTGGGTACTCGTTTGAATTCTCGATCTCGTGGTCGCCCCTTTTTTGCTCGATTCATTGGCTTCGGGAGATACACCGCGAGTGCCCATCATACAACCATGCGTGGCGACAAAGTTGTCCTCGCTCTTGCGAGCTTGGCAGGACCCGTTGCTGGACAAGCCTTGGACACTGTCCTGACGGAGGGTCGAGATACCCTGCAGACTGCGCGCTTTGGCCGGCGGCAAGCCAAGGACCGCAGGCTAGCAACCGTCAAGTCGCATGCAAATGTCAACGAGACAGAGACCACCGTCACCCTGGAAAAGCGACTGGGTGCACGATGTGGTATAGACTTTGGAACCTCGTGCGAAGCCGGTATGTGCTGTTCCAGCGCCGGGTAAGTACTGTCACCCTCCCACCACGCAGTGCTGGCCCTAACGGATAGACTCCAGATGGTGCGGTCAGGGATATCTTTACTGCTCAGCGCCGTCCTGTCAGATCGAATACGGACCAGCCTGCGATGCCAACATCCGGCCCAGCGGTCCTGAGACGAAGAATGTCCCGCGGCCCAAAGTCGGCAGCGTACCTTATGGCACATCGGTCCGTCGCTGCACGCGACCTGGTGATATCGCCCTCACATATGACGATGGGCCCTACATTTACACCGACGACCTGCTCGACAAGCTCAAGGTAAGGTTGAGCGGCGACCTGTGATAGATCATTTTAAACCCATGTCGCTTACCATTTTCCCCCAGGCCTACAACGCCAAGGCGACGTTTTACGTGACAGGCAACAACTTGGGAAAGGGCAAAATCAATGACCCAAACACCGCGTGGCCAGGACTCCTTCGGGTGAGGCCACTTCTCGTGTCTTTTGATTGCCAAGCTGACGGATCACAGCGCATGATTGCCGAGGGCCATCAGATCGCGAGCCATACCTGGTCCCACCAACGTCTGACGACACTCACCGAGTCCAAATTCCGTAACCAGATGAACTACCTCGAGATCGCCCTGGCTGATCTGTTCGGCTACTTTCCGACTTATATGAGGTATGACCACTGTCGTTTTTGCGGCCTTTACAACGCTTAACTAACAAGCTAGACCCCCCTATTCTGCGTGCGACGGCGCGTGTGAGACGCTTCTCAACGAGCTTGGCTATCACATAACCTATTTTGACCTTGACACGGAGGGCTATCTTCGCAGTAGTCCATCAGCTATACAAGGCTCCAAAGACATCTGGGACGCTGCTGTGGAGGACGCCAACCCCGCCACTGCAAAGTTCCTTCACATCGAGCACGACCCCGTGCAGCAGAGCGTCTACAACCTGACGGACTACATGCTTGCCTCGCTCCAGCGCAACGGTTTCCGCGCCGTCACCGTCGGAGAGTGTCTCGGTGACCCCAAAGCCAACTGGTATCGCACCGTCGGCACCCCGAACCCGCCGGCCACGACACGCACAACCTCGGTTGCGCAGCCCACGGGAACCCTCCCTGCCACGACCAATGGCCGCTGTGGCGTAAACCAGGGCAGACAGACCTGCGCTCGCGAGCCTGGAGCTACATGCTGCTCATCGGCCGGCTGGTGTGGTAGTTCATCCGCGCACTGCGGGTCGGGATGCCAGATCGGCTTCGGGACGTGTTCAGCCTCGAGCCCGGGCGCGGCGACGACTACCACCACGCCATCCGCGCCAACAACTACCGCTCGCCCTCCGTCCACGAATGGTCGTTGTGGCCCGAGCCATGGCAGTGCCACTTGTGCGAAGGAGCCGCTTGGTGCAACATGCTGTTCGAGAGCTGGATGGTGCGGCTCCACTGGAGATCATTGTGGGACAGGATGCCAGGCTGGCTTTGGAACTTGCGCATGAAGCTGCCTTCACTCTGACATTCGTCAAGGTCGCATAATCTCGTTGATGGTACATGGAGGAGACGCAAGCCTGGCAGGTATCGGACTATTAGATTCTTCGGAGCTCTGGACGAGAAAGGGGCAGAAGCATGGATCGTTCCATGCCGATAGACTGACCATCCGACACGTTCGTAATGCTCAATGCGAATCATGCTTTTCTTTTTTCCGTCAGCCCCTAAAGAATCAAAGGTGTCTACTCGATGATTTCCCAAAAGTCTACCCTGCCCAGGGCCTCTCTCACATGATGTCCACCAACGGCCCGGCCAACTGTCAGATATTTGCTGTCCAAGCTGAACGCCGCCGAGCTCGCAAAGCCCTGCCCGAAACCCATCCTGCACAGCACTCTCCCCGTCGCCATGTCCCTGACATCAGCGCCATTCTCTGTCCGGCAGCACAGGAACCTCAGATCGGGACTCGCCGCCAGCGGCCACCCCTCGCCCCCAGGCCCATCAAGAGACCAATTGTCGAGGGCCCCCGTATCCGGATCCCACAAGTACACTTTCCGACCCCAGACCGAGGTGACGACGGAGCCAGTTACTGACACGGCGAGAAACACTGGATTTTTCCACTCGGCCACCTCGAGCTTGGCTGTCCCCCGCCACGTAGTGGTGCTCGTCACCCGCAGCGTCCCGTCCCTGCTCATGGTCACGAGACGGTCGCCTTCGGCCGTGAACCGCGCCTCGAACACATCCTCAGTGTGACTCCGCACGACACCGACCCCCTTGCCTCCGCCGGCGACGTCCCAGACCTCGACGCGTCCCAGGACGCCCCGGACGGCAAGCAGCGCCCCGCTCGGCGAGAAGGCAAAGGGTCTGGCGCCGGGCCAGCGTAGGTGCTTCGTGAGATACGTCTGCTTTGCATAGTCAAAGACGACGACTTCTGGGTCCAGGAACGTGCGGCCGTCATGCAGCGTTTCCCGCGAGCCCGCCTGCCGTCTGGACAGCTCCAGGCGCTCGTACGCCGATGTCGACAGACTGTCCAGGTGCTCCTGCACCACGGCCATCAAGGGTCCCGCGGGCGAGAGGCACATGGACGTGCCGTTGAGGTTGAACCGGCCCGCCATCTGTTCCCGCCCCTCGGGCACCTTCATGTGGAAGAAGCGCACGCGATGGTGGTACGTTGTCACGGCCACGCGGGGCACGCGGGCCGTGGCGTCAAAGGCGATGCCGAGAGTCTCAGACTCGAGGGTCGGCAGGCGCGAGACGTGGCGGAGGTCCATACGTTGCGGTGCCGGAGGTAGTCTGATGGTCGAGTAGGCTGGCGTCGGGCGGCCGAGGTCGCCGGCGTCCAGACCGTCGAGGCCAGGCGAAGGCGCACGAGTAGAGTCGTCCGGGGCCTGGTATGAGTCCAGACCACCACCGCTGCCGCTGCCGCTGCCACCGGGGAGCGAGGCCGCTTCGGATAGAGCCACGTTGCTGCTGCGGCGCTGCTCGATCGGCGGGGGCACGAGATTGCCCGAATGCTGCGAGGCGAAGCGCTGCAGGGCTCGAGGAACTCGGTAAGCACCACAGCCTGCACTGTATTGGCGTTGCGGTCGCGATCCTCGGCAAGGCGGACCTTGATGTAGAGGATTTCGGGCACAATCGACGTCGTTGCGTACGGCGGCGAGTCACCCGTCTGCTCAGCCTCGTTGACGCCCGTCGCCATGTCCAGCCCGGCCACGGCCACGTCCAAGGCCCGCCTACCGGTCTCGAGCGGCCTCACCAGTCGATCAACGTCCATTGGCACGATGCCTTGCCAGTCGTGTCGCTGGCGGGTTGGGTCCTCGAGCGTCTGCCGCGCAGCAAGGACATGATCGACGCAGTTGGCCGGCACCATCTTGATGCCACGGAACACGTCATCTGGGATGGGCGTGGCGCCGTCATCAAAAGAAGCGGCCTTGTCACGGAGAGCTGCGGTGGACCGTCGTAGTTCAGAGAGCTCAGCCACGAGCGGCTCCAGGTTGGCATGCGATGTCGTGTGCCTACTTGAGAACTCTTCCACGCTCGTTGCAATGGATTCGAGAGACTCCTCTAGACGGTTGCATTGCATCCTGAGCGTGTCCATTGTGCTGGCGACCTTTCAATGAACAAAGCTCACCCGCCGCGTCGAGTAGACTGAACGACCGACAACCTATGTACCTAACTAAGTACGTCGTCAGTTGAGCCTCGTCTCCCTTGGTCGGGAAGGCAAACTTGTTGCTGCGCCGCACGTCAGCTGGGGGGTCATTTGCAATGATGCCGCGGCACATTTGCCACAAGCGATAGTGCGCGGAGATGTTCACCCCGGCGTGCCTCGTCCTTCCAATGCGCCAAGAGACATAGGAACTCGGGCCAATGCATACGCGTCGCTGTAAATGTTTCTAGTTGGTTTGCTTGCCGGCCTGCTGTCACCGTAATGCAGCCTGCCCTAATTATACACTGTCGAGCCAGGCTCGTATAACCATGTTGACGCCGTGTCCCTGCTGCTTGGCTCGAGTCCAGCGCAAAATGAACAAATGCTGTAAAAGAACTTTGTCTCTTGAGATGAACCATCAACGCCCAGTCAATCACGCCCATGGCAACGCCGGTCGCAAGCAAGTTGTCCTCCATTGATTGCGCGCCTCGGGTATCTCCTCCACCAGAAATAAGTATGAAAAAATTACCCCCCAAATCTGAGATAGCTGCCCGGTCCAAGGCAAGCGGTGAAGTACGGCGTTCTCAGACCATCTCCAACTCGGAAGCCTCGACGGGATCAACAAAGGGCGACTTGGTAGTCTCCCACGCCTGTTCAATGGCGTCACTAACAGTCTGGTTAGTCAAAGAGCACAGAAATGACAGGACAAGGAGACACGAACCTCGTCGTCTTGACGATTTTGATTCCCCTTTTCTCACAGAACACAAGGAATCGCCGCTTGGTGCGCTCGCGGGCAAAATCGGCAATCATGTCACCGCGTTCTTGGCCGGTTTGCTCGTCCTTTTCGACGCCAGGCCGGCATCGCACAACCACTTTGCGCGTGTCGGCCGCCCATTGAATGTCCACAACGTCTTGCGGCGTGAAGTGAAAGTTGACCGGGTTAGAGTACAACCCCCACGACGGCGGATTGCAGTCAGATAAGACCTGGTGCTCAAAAACATCGTCTGTGCCACCCTCGATATCGACCCAATGCCAATACTGCGTGACAGATGTGCTCGTTGTGTTGATGCGCGATTTGACGGAGCTCAAGCAGAAATCGTGGTTGCTAATCTGATCGCCACTGTAGTCGTCCGTATCGGTGTATCCGTCATACTGCAAGTCATAGTCACCCTCGCCCTCGCCCTCGCCCTCGTCCTCGCCATTCAAAGGCGTGCCGTTGCGACTATTGACGAGGGGTTTTCGTTTCCGTTTATACGGCCGTTCCTGCTCGGACTCGGCGCTGAGATTCTGCGCATGATGCATCGCCGCCGCTGATACTTGCGCGACAACATCATAGCCGGGAAGGGGGCCGACCAAAGTAGGGCCAGCTCCGACCGGAGGCACGATAGCCTTGATGGGCGTATCATTCAAACTCTTCCTCTTCTTTCCCGACATCTTCATACCGGAAGGGCGGCCGATACTCCTTTTCCCGTTTGCCAGTCGAAGGGCCTCCAGCTTGCGGTCATGGTAGAAATTGTGTACTTTGGCGTAGAGCTTGAAGTGCGGGCCCTCCTCTTGAATGACTTCATGCAGCCGGTGCCGGATCCATTCCAGAGGAGTGATGTCCATTGTGCCGAAACTTTCGAGAACGAAAAAGGTATCGGCGAGTCGGAACAGCGTATCGTAGCCGACAAGGCGCGAGTTGACATACTTTTTGCTCAACAGTTGGTAAGGGCTGATGTCGGCTTGCCTCAGGAACTTGAGAATCGTCTCGCCACGGTTGACTTGGCGTCCGACCTGAAACTTGCTGCTCGTGTTTCCCTTGAGCGCAGCTTCGTGCTTGACACGCCACGACTCCAAGGCGGGCTGGATAGCCGCGTTCTCGAGATCAGGCTCCCAGTCGGGCTCCCAGTACGGATGGCTCGGGTCAATCTTCACAAGAGGGACGCCTTGCATACATTCAGGGTGGGTGTACACGACGCCGTCGTGACGCAGCACGAGGTTGCTGGCTGTGATGGGTTCCATGTCTTCCTCGGTCGAGTCATCCTCAGGAGAAGTCTGCTTGGGCGTCTTGTCGCCTTGCCAGTGATACACGTTTTGATGCTGCTGCTGCTGCTGAATAGTCGTGATGCCCTTTGGTCGCTTCCGCAGCGCGTTAGGGGCAGGGCTGTCATCCCGCGAATCATCTAGGTCGTCCTGGGGTGCGGCCGCGGTGTACTGGGTCACATCCTCCTGGACGCCCGTCTTTGGCGTCGAACGAGCTTCGTCGTCATCTTCGTCGCTCACGGCCTCTTCCGCGGGCATCTGGCACGGCTGTTTGGACCACTCGCAATTGCCGCACTTGCGAAAATTGGGCCCACGTGGAATGATGCACGTATCGAAGGGGCCCAGGTTCTTGGTACAGTTAAGGCAGCGTTTTGCGCCCTCGAGCACGTCGCCTGTAGCCTGCAGCATGACGGCGGTCCACCTCGCCGGCTTCGCATTGGGGCCGTTGGCATACGTGTACCGCTTGTCGTAGATAGAGTTGAACTTGTCCAGATCAAAGGTGCGGCCAGGGCGCGTGTTGACGCGACGCTTGACTGGCAGTCCCAACAGCAGCGACACCACTGCGTTCTGTGCCGGGATGCTCCTCACGGGCGCGACAAAATTCCCGTCGCCGTCAAAAACCTCGACGCCCGTGAGATCATCGAGCTGGCCGATATCGTTGGTGGCGCCTACATTGTTGGCTGCGGCAAACGTATGGTGGTATCTGGGGGCCGCCCCGTTGGCGGCGGCGGCTTGGGGTCCGTCAGGTAGGCTGGTCCTGCCGTCCTTGATGCGGCGGGTGCTGACGGCGATACCATTGGTGATATCGCCAAGGGCCACGTCGACATGCTCATCGCTGGATGGGTTAGGGTGTGATGAGGTGCCGCGCGAGCCAAACCACGCAGTCATCTTGGCACGTCGGACTGCGCGTTCAGCCGCCAGGGCTCTCTGTTGGAGCTCAAACTCACGACGCCTCGTCTCGAGCCGTTCCTCATAGTTATGGTAAGCGAGATTGATCTGGCGGAGGTTTTCTTCGGCCCGCGCCTTATCGCGCTGCATGCTCGCCAATTCATTGCGAAGGTCCTTGGTCTCTTCGATGAACCGATCAAGCAGGCGTTGGTCTTCTTCAGCAATGGCGGTATTGAAAGATTCCCAATAACGACCCTCAACCTCCATGCTGGGGGGTGCATCATCTGCGGCCGCGGCCATGGTTGGCGCGCGTTGAGAGGGTGTGAGGTAGGATGTAGGTGAATTGGTAATGCAATTGAGAGTTCCGGAGGGTTTTTGGGGGGGGGAGCCGGAAGCAGATGTTGGCCGAAACGCCACCGCCGGAGTTGAGCTGCTGGTAGGAGGTGTGAGTGGGTGGTGGGTGGGTTGACCCAACCGGTCGGGTGAAGAAATGGCCGGGCTAGGATGAGGCCGACGTGGCGGGCACGATGGCAGTCCGAGGTCAGCGTGCTGCGAGGCCTCTGGTGGCAGATGGGGGGTTGAGACGTCTGGAAACATCAGCCGATCGTCTAGGGGCAAAGGATGGGGAGAAGGGGTGAAAAAGATAGATGGGTGGTCGGGATGTTATGGCGCAAGAGAAAACATGTAGGTAATCCCTAGTCAGGGAGGTGTTGGCGGGAGGTGGAAAGAGTGGCGTGCGATAGGATAGGATAGCATTGACAACGCTATTCTCGGCTGACACGGATAGGGTGAAGCGTGAAGGCGTCAAGTAGCCCAGACTTTGCATTACCTTCTTGGTCTGGGCGGGTTACGAGTTTACAGCTAGCCGTGAGGCGATTGTTTCCGGAACGAAGCGTGGCTGACAGAATTTTGTGCTGTTCCACCGGCCTCGGCAGGTAAAGGGTGTCGTCAGCGTTGTCGTTCTTCTTCTTCTTCTTCTTCTTGTCGTCAGCAGAGGTAGTGACGAAGGCGTATAATATAGGCCTGATTCGAGAACGCGGCTGATGGCCTCGCGCGCAACGGGGGTCTCTGGGTGGTGAGGATATGCCGTGTGAGGGACTCGCTCCAGTGGGCGGCTTGGGCGGGTGGGAAAGTGGAGCTGCCACTGTGGGATTTGTTTGATGTACCAGCGTCAGGCGACAATGGAGAAGCTAGAATCCGTGAGGTTTCGAGGTGGGAAGTGAGGTAATGACAAGGAGCTAATGCTATCAATGATAATCTGCCATGGGGCGCAACTAGCTCCTTGATGCAGTCTCATAATACCACCCACCCAAGGTAGGTAGGTACCTAGGAAGCGAGGTGCTCTCCTCGGTCCGACGAGGCTCGCGTAAAGGCACGCAGGTACCGTTATAGATAGTCGGTAGTAGCGTCGTTCAATTACGCAGTGCAATATAGCGCGATGTCTTTGAACGGGTTCCGTGGATCATGAACGGTGCTTGTACGTGTCAAGGACGCGATGCCGGGAGAGGGAGAAAAAAAAGAGGAAGATAGAAGGAAATAAAAGAGAGAGAGAGAGAGAGAGGTGAGGAGAGCGAGGGAGGGGCTGGGGATGAGGTGTTGTGGAAGGAAATGAAAATTCATGTCTGGGCGATCCCCAATGATGATGTTCTTGGATTGAACACTAAGTTAATGCGAGAGGCCTGGGGATTAGGCATTGGCAAAGGGGGCCCCAAGCTAAAAACCCGCCTTGTTCCAAGGCGCTGTTCGAACCTTCCCATTGAATTTATACTACCTAAACTTACCTCATTATTCAGGTCGACACTCGCGGCAGGCACACACACATCTGCCTCACTAGCTCCCTGCCTGCCTGACCGCCAGTGGTATGGTACCCAGGTACATGTACATGTACCTGGCAGGTAGGTGGCATGCCCGCTGGGCCCTCTCACCAAGTCCATTGAAATGCTACGGAGTTTCTTATGTCCATGTGCTCCCGGACAGTCTCCGGGCAGTCAGTTAGCCCGGGTCCATCTCCTAGAGAGCACGCCAGCCCCACGTGATCGATCATGCCTGCAACCGTGTTGCTGTTCCCAGTGGGCCCCTTCCCATCACTGTCAGAGCCCATTCCGGCTGGATGAGTTGGGGGCTGAAGCTCGGGGCTCGGTCAACAACACTGGGGGGGAGGGGGGTTCAACATGACTTGCGTTTCGGCTTCTTCATGGCACGGCTCCATCAATAAGACAAACCTCGCAATGGGAGAAGCCTCTGACCAAGGCCCAACCGTATATATACGGTCACGTTGCCAATACAACCGACGTTAATAAACAAAGACCCAGATCATTCCGATAGAATTCGTTATGCGTAAACGTAAGGTGTGCAGCTGCCAAATCAAACGCTGAGCCATGTATGCACGCGGTAAACCAAAACGCTTCCCAAAAGTTCATCCCACCCCCCCCCCCCCTTAATAGCTCGCGCCCGTCTCTCACATGCTGCGCTTCTTCGTCAGCTTGCACTCTTGCTTCGATGCCGCGCTGTGGAAGAAATTGCTGACGCTCGCCGCCGCGTTCCCGTACGGCCCGTGCCCGTTGAGTAAACCGTGCAGCGGGTTGGCCGGTTTCTTGCCTCCTCTACCCGCACCTCCTGAGCTCGTAGTCGCAGCGCCTCCCCCGGGCGTCGACGGCCCAGGCTTCCACCATCCGCTGCTGCCCCCCGACATGGCGGGGGTCTGCGGGCCGGCGCTCGAGGGTCTCGGCGGGGGCTGCGAGTGGCCGTGTGCGCTGCTCGAAAAGTATGGCGACAGTCCCGGGCTGCCCCCTCCCCTGCCAGCACCGTGAGAGTGCGTCGCACCAGGGCCCGGCCGCGGCGGCAGATGCGGTGCGTGGGCCTCGGGCGGCAGGCTGCTGTTGGCTGCTGCAAACCCCTGCGCGTTGACGCCGTACTGCTTCCGTAGGCGCTCTGTTTCGCGGTCCACCTCGGCCTGCTTGCGGCGTCGCTCCTCCTCTTCCCTGTTGAGCATGTCTTTGATACGTCGCGCCTCCTCAGCATCGCGGCGCTCCTGCTCGCGCGTCTGGCGTTCCCGTTCGCGAGCTTGTCGTTCCTCCTCAGCCACCATGGCCTGAAGTCGCTTTGTCTCAGCGTCGATGTCTTGCTGGCGAGCGTCGCGTGATGGCACCACATTGGACTGCGCCTGGTAGGAGGTGGGCTGCGGCGGAGGGGCACCAATGGCCCCAGACATTGGTGCCGCGGTGCCGGGAGATGCCGACGCCCCGCGAGAGTCCTTTTGCCGTCCGCAAGATGCCAAGGGTGGCGCACTAGAAACGTTGAAGGGATCCATCTTTGGGTTGAGATACAGATCACGAATGACCTCAGCCCCAAGAAGCAACACGTTTCGAGTCCCTTCTGATCCTGTACATCGACACGACGCAGATTGGGTTCGTAAATCGTAACGGTGCTGTCGTGACGTCCCTCCTTGAACATGGCCACCGTAATATCAGGCTCCTTGCTCTTCTTGCCGCCGACGCTCTTGCCCACCAGATAGCACGTCATCTCCCTGCCGAGCCTCGACTCTTTCTTCCAACGAAAGACGGCCTTGGGCACAAGGTCGCTGATGGGAGGCTCGCCAGCGTCGAGGTCGATCTTGCTGGCACTGGGCGCGCGGAACGACTGCTCAGGAAGCTCAAACTCCCAGCTGTCCGATTTGCCCCAAGACCCCGGCTTCGAGCGAATCACGACATGTGAGTCCGGGTTGTAGAGGTTCAGCGTGACCGTGTCTGGGGTGATCGGTGTCGGCGGGGGCGGCTGGCCATTTTGAGCGCGGATCTCGGCCGTCGAGAGCGTTGGCTGCGACCACGACGGCTCGACAAGAACCTCGGCGTAGATGATGGACTGAGAGGACACGTCGGCGAGGGCGACAGCGTATTTGTTCTTGGATGCGGAGACTGCCGGGTCGGCGCGCATCAGGAGATACTGCGCACTTGGATCGGAGCCATTGTGGGAGAAGTAAAGGACTGTGTTGAGAGGCGAATCGGAGGAGGGTTGGAAGCGGAAACTCGGCAAGTTTTCGTCGAGCATGGCGAAGAGGAGACTCGGCGATTTTGCACAATGTCAGCTTATTTTCAAGTCTAGGTTGTCGGTTCGAGGTTCTTGTCGGATGAAGTTGACCAGCAGGTCTGGTGCTTGCTGCAGCCTGATGTCGGCTCCTATCGGTTTCGAGGCAGCTGACCACAGGCTTCCGTTTCCGTGAGTATCCCAGTCGTGACCCGGATATATAGGTAGATATGATATGGACGCACGGTGAGGTATGAAGAATATGGATGAATAGAAAAAAATAATGGAAGTGATCAGGCTATCAACTTCAGTCCTGTTGTCAGATGGTGTTTCCAGGTGCAGCCCACCAACCCACGCGGCCTGGGATTCGTAGTGCGTCGTCATGACGAGGCTTGGGTAGGCGCCAAGCCGCTGCAGGGCATCCCGCCCTTCTCTGATTGGGCCCTGTCCAGTAACCATGGAGAGGCGGTGCAGCCGTCAGCCTCGAGCCGCATCGTGGCCGCGTTTCACAGTGGGGCCTCCCTACTCTCAGTCTCAAAGGAAAGGTAGCCAGCCATCCGAGCAAGGGTCGGCCTCGCTGGCCAGCCAATTCACTACCCCTGCGCCGGCACGCGTGAGCATCTGCAAAAGCAGAAACACGATTGCTGTGCAGTGTCTGGTTCACCTGGGACCGCTGTCTTTCAGGCAAGATCTCAGCTTGCCAACATGTCATGTGCATCACAATGCAATCAAGATCGGGAGCAGGGTGTCATGTGCTTTTCTTGTTATCTGCCTGCTATCTCTCGACCGTATACACATTGCCATCCTCCCCTCGCGCCATGCTATGCTGTTTGTACGATGTATATGCTGGTGGACACGGCGGTCTGGCCGATCGACGTAGACGACATCAGGATCTCTCCAAGCCCCAGGCTTTAAACGGAAAAGTCCAGACGTCCACGCGTCTTGGCACAGCGTTCCAGTGCATCCGTCTTTGTCCTGGCATCCGAAGTGGTATCATGTCGGGTCTGGTAATTAGGTTCTCCTCTCTTCCCCGTGCGAGGTCCAATGTACTCGCAGTGTGTGTGTGTGTGTGTGTGTGTGTGAAAAGAGGAAAAAGGAACAGAAAGAAGTGTGTCAACGGAGAGCAAGCTCCGGCATAGAAAACGATGACACAGCTCATCGCAGCTGGTAGTCGTCGGGGCGCCTGGGCTCCTCTCCGTCGGGCATCATCATGTTGAACTGTTGTTCGGGTGGCATGATGTTCTTGCCCAGCGCCGCTGGCAGTCCGGGAACGGGTGGCACGTCCTCTTCATCATCGCTGCGACCCTGGGCCCGCTTAACGCGGCCCGTCTGCTGGTTCACCCAGCTGTTGACCGTACGGAACCGCGGGGGCAGGTCCTCGCTTGTTTCCGTGTAGATCGTCTCACGGTTGCTGCTCCCGCTCTTGCTGACCCAAGAGTAGCGCCCCACGACGTTTTGGGTGGATCGCAAAGCCTGCGAAGCGGGAGGAGGCGGCTGCAGGCCAGGCACGATAATGTCGCCATCGCCGAAGCCAGAAGAAAGAGACGAAATCGCGCTTACACGGTTGGCTGGTCGCCCGTAGCCATTTGTTTGCTGACGGGCAATCTCCATCTCCGATCCGACGTAGTACAGACCGCCACCAGCGGACTGAAGCGTCGAGCTCATGTCGCCGCCGTTGCCGTACCTCGCCATGATGGAGTCGATCGTTCCGTCGCCGGACTGGTAGGTACCCTGCTGAGCGCGAAGTGTGTCATTACGCTGCAGAGCCATGCTCGTGGGGCTGACAGTAATAGGCGTTCCGTTGGCGCTGGTCTGCGGTAGACTGTACGTCGCGCTGCTTGGCTGCTGGAACTTGGGCTGGCCAGCATAGACATCCGTGTCCAGACGCAGCGAGCCGCGGCCGCCCTTCTCATACGGAGGGGGCTGCCCGGCGCCGTCATCGAGATTGTGCCATCCGCGAGCTGCTGCAATGTTACGCAGGAATGGAATCTTAGCCGCAAACCTGATGCCGATGCTAGGTTTATTGATGGGCGGGGGTGGTCCCTGGCCGAGGTTAGGGAACTGGCTTTCGCGCTCTCTCCTCTTCTTGCGAGTCCGCCTGACAGTCCTCCAAACAATCCAGATGATGAAGCTTGCAAATATGAAGGAACCTAGTCGCGGTCAGCTGTCTTGTTCCATCTAAGTGGCGTTCACTTCACTCACCAATGGACCCGACAGCAATCAGGGCATGTTCCGTGTTGGGGTCCATCCGGCCTCGGCCGCTGGCGCTGTCATTTTCCTCGACAGGCAGAGCGGTGCCAGTGATAAGGTTACTGCTGCTGGTGGAGCTTGTGGTGGTATCATCCCGGGACTTGCTCGTTGTCGGCGAGGGCGGCTCCAATTCCTTTCGCGGTGCAGTGGGATCGAACACTGGCAAGGCTGGCGGCTGGGTTGTAATTGACAGGGAGGACGTGGAAGACTGAAGCTGTTTGTCAGACTCGAGTCTCGAGAGCGGTAGCAAACTACTTACAAAGCTGGAGGTCGAGAGTGAGGCTGTCACAGTCCCCGCGGGTGGTGCAGCCGTGATTGTCCTAATCTCGGGAGGCGCTGTAACGGTGATGGGCGGAGTTGTGGGAGCCTCGATGGGTGCAGCGATGGGTTGCTCGGGCGCTTGATCGTTGATGGGCAAATTGGGCCGCGGAACGGGTTGGCTGCTAAAATCGGGCAGGACTGCCGGTGCCGCTGCCGAAGGCGCCGCTGGAGGCGCCGCTGGAGGGAGAGCAACGGGCGGCGTCGTGGTGGGAGACGGCGGGGCCGCTGGTGGAGGTGGGGACGGATTCACGGGCGGTGGTGGGGATGGCCTCGGGCCGGGGGGCTTGATGGGGGTAAGAGTGACGGGCGGCTGGGCTGCGGCAGGCGGAGGTGCAGAAGCGACAGGCGAGTTGATTGGCGACGTTGGCGATGTTGGGCTGTCGGGCCCGCTGTCGCTGTCCGAGCCGTCTGCAACGGCGTCGTTGGTCAAGCCAAAATCGGGTACCGGGGTGGGAAGGTCGTCGTTGCGGGTGGAGATGATGTCCCTTGTCTTGGTGGCCGGCACCTGGCGGCGGTTCTTGTTGTGTACTGGACCAGCCTCGTCGTCAGAAGAGTTGCCGCCGCCGTCGGCCACGTCGACTCGCTGCCGTATCCTCCTGGCGGGCACACGAATGTTGCTAGGGGGCGATCCTCTCTTCCAACCGGGCCTCTGCCCGTTCGCTGCGATGAATGGTGCCATTTCCTTTCCCTCGATCATGCTCTACGGGCCTCCCGTAGCCGTCAAGATGCAGATGGTGATTCGTTGGTGCTACCGGTTGGCACAGGACATGACCACGGGTGTTGGTCAGGTCGAGTTCAAGTTGTGTCCGGGGTTGGTCGTCTTATTCGAGGCACCCGATGACGACTGAGAAGGAAGGGCAGAAGCAAAAAAATGTAGACCAGGAAAAGGCGTGTGGTAAATAGAAAGTCGATGAGTCCCAATCAAGGGCGTCTCAATGAAGAAGACAAAAGTGAGTACAACGAAGGCCGGCCTTGTGAGTGAAGAAAAACGGACAAAACAATAGAAAAGACAGACACCCAGTGGAGTTTGGTGGATAGGGAAAAGGAGGGAGAAGGGAGAAGGGAGGAAGCGGAAGAAGAGCAAGACAACAGTAATAGACGGGGGTGCGGTGGGAGGGCAACGTCAGTTTGTATCAGATCAACATCGCGGGCCCGTGTGCACCACCACGGGCGCGGGGAAGCCAATTACTGGTCGAGCGATCTAGAGCATTGTTGCACGAAGTCGTGGTGCTTCAGGGATGCGTCTACACAGCGAGTCCGGGGGCACTGACCCGAGAAGTCAGGTACCATTGTCGCCAGAACAGGTGCGAGTCGGTGCAGGGTGCATGGTCCGCGACCTTGGGCTCCCAGGGGGTGGACCGCACGAGCGAAGGGGTTGCAGCTTGACGTCTGGGCTTCATCTTGTTCGGACGCGGATCCGCCGATGGTTTGTCGAGGTCCCCGTCTAGGTCGCTCGCTGCCCACCCCTCCCATCAGTTTCTGTGGATTCTGTGGCATGCTCGAGCACATGGCTGTGGAACAGCAACGTTCTCTGGCACGCGGATTGCTCAGAAGGGAGAGAGCTTTGGCTCGTGGGGTCAATGTCATCAATGGCTTCGACTGCATGTAGCTAGCTTGGCCCAATCTGTCAATTGAAGACCCCAACTCGTCTGCAGTACAGTGAGGGATCGATATTGAGTGCCACAGCTGACTCGCTCCAAACGGCGACCGCTGAGAGGGAGTGTCACTGGTAAATGACGAACTGTCGCGAGGGTCAGTCACCTTTCCAGGTCGGCGCTGGCCGAGGTGCTCGCCGGACGAAGCGACGAGATCGCTGCCAGGGGAGGAGCTCGAAAGCGTCGATGCGTCGCGCTGGGGGGCGTTCGAAAGTCGAGGAACCTCAAGGCAGACCGCTGGCTGTTCGAGGCAGATGCGCCGGGGTGGCGACGTTTGGCCACCTCCTGAGAAGAAGGACTGCCCTACTTGCCGTGCCACGAGCCGTCACGAACAAAAGTCGCCTGCAGCAGCGTCCAGCGATGTTGCTTGCGAGGAATGAAGGAACCAAGAGCATGAAGCAGCCGGCCCTGAACGCTGTGACACTCTCCTGCACCATTGCAGGGGTCTCTGCGTCTCAGCATTGAAGAGCGGGTTTCAAACCAGGCCGCCAGGCAAGGGGTCCCGCCTGTTCCCGTGCACTCCAGCGTCGACTGCCGCTGTCTGTGTCTGATCTGTCGCTGAACCGCGTCGTGATTGGCTGCGAGCTGGCCAGTGGTCTGGAATGTGGGTGAGATCGAAGGGGGAAGACTGGCATCGAGGCTCAATATCGTCGTCTCTCCTGGTTGAACCTATCGTGCCGGCTTTTTTCGCCGAGCCTGTCAAAAGAAGGGTAAGTAGCCGCTGCGACAGCCCTCGCGAGAGACGCAAGAGGCAAGAGGGCAAAGGCTGTTCCAGTTTCTCATTCAGTGGTGGCTGTCAGACGTAAGAGAAGGATGCCAAGGAGGTCGATCGTCCGTGTCACTACTATCAAGAGAGAGTCAGTCAACAAGCAACACAGGCTGGCATCTATTTGTCAGTGGCCCTGCCTTGCAGGCTGGGCGCAAGCCATCTTGCCGAGAACCATGGGTGCGGTGTTACTGACCCGTCATTTGGAAACCCTCGCAGACGTCATGCTTATGCTACCGGAAATCGTGCCAAATACCGAGTGTAGAGCAGAGTCATTCATACACGCGGCCACAGCCGGCCTGTCCTTGCCAGGAGGACTCATCATGCCAGCACTCGGCTCCGGATCGCTCCTCAGAATGGCGCCTGTGTGGTTTATGGTCTGTTTAACCTGAAGCTCGCGGGACAAGCCTCGAGACAGTTGAGGTACGGCCTTGGCGTCTGGAAACACGGTGGGGACGAGCCGAGTCACGCCCCCTCGCCTGCATGTTGTTGGCGAAGCACAGCCTGGCCCACGTCCGGCTTCACAGCATCAGATGAGGGCTGGGGCAGTCGCAGCGCAAAAGCTGGCCAACTGGAATTTCACTTTGCGTTGTTCCCGCCGGGTCATGTTTCACGAAGGTTGGGTCCGCGTCTGCTCCCGTCAGTCGGGTGGAACGGCAAGCGCACAAAGAGGGAATTCATTGAGAAGACGAAAGGCGCGTGTTTCGTTTCGTGAGGACGAAGCGCCCTGTGATTGCGGATACCACGAATTGCCAAGTCTTTGTGGCCGTAGCAAGGCCCTGGTGTTGATTCACAGCTTGTGCAGTTCCCTGCATCCCTGATCCCACGCGCGTAGCTTGGCACTACCGATGCTGGAAGTCATGTCACATTGGGCAAGGTCGGATACGCTGATCATCAGCGAGCCAACCAAGAACTGGTGGGTTGGGAGCATCAAAGTGCGAGGTAGGTGGCCGTGTCTTGTGATCAGCTGTGACTGGTCTCCACGACCGAGGTATCAAACGGCTGCGATGCTCAAGCTGGCACAATATGTCTGCAGAGTCCTCATGCTACGTAGCTGATGCCTCGGTGACATGATGAGCACCTTGAACCCGGGCCAGCGGTAGCAATCATCCTCGTCGGGACTGGTGTCCCACGACACCCTCGCAACAGCGAGTGGGATCTGCGGGGGACGGGACCGGGTGATCTCGCGACGCGGAGGCCATTCCCGAAGCACCATCCCGCGTGAGCGACCTTATCTGGCTTGGGCTCGGCGAAGGGTCGGTAGTCGTGTGTAAGTTGTGATATTGGGGAACTGCGGGAAAGTACGTAATGGATCGATCTCAGCCGTAACGTCGGGTGTGGGGAACAGGACTCACACAACGGCGGAAGGGATGTGGTTATTGATGGATACCATAAGGTGCGGTAGGTAGGTAGATGGAGATGAGCTGTGAGCACGCTTCGTAATGCAAGACCATCGCGAAGCTAAATCATTGTCAGTGAAAACAACTCCATCTAAGAAGGAACCTCGGACTTGGTTCGGAACCCGGATGGTGGACCCAGACCAGATTTCTCCGATATATTACCGGCATGCGCCGAATATGCAGTAAGGCATAGGCGACAAACCCGTCAGAAAACTCAGTGAAGATAGCAAGCGCTCCAGTCATACACTGGCAAGAACTGGCAGGCACGCAGGGCGGTTGGATCCACCAGAGCTCCCCTGCGGCGTGGCACTTGCCCACGCTCACCTGCTTCTACTTCTTCTTCGCACCTGCATAAGGTAGGCAGGAACCAAGATACCTAAGGTAGGTAGGATGGATGGAACCAGTAACTGTTAGGCGACAACATGCTGCCGCTCCCCTTGGTCCGGGTAAATACTGGTGACATTTTAGTCGCGGTTTACCGGCTCATTCGTAGTAGCAGGTATAGCCTTGCTGAAAAGAGGACGGCTATTTTCTCTGCCCTTATAGGCTTTTCGCTCTGCCCGACTAAGGTAAATGCACGCTAGATAGGGGATAAGCTAGAAATATAGCTCTACTACCTAAATTAGCTAGGGCAATTATATATCTTTACTTATCTCTTATACTTTTAAGTTTCTAGTAAAGTAATCGAGTTACTAAATAAGTAATAATAGCCCTTAGCGGCCTAAGGTAATTAGTATTAATCTTTTTATATTATAAGTTAGGATATTAGAAAGACTATAGCTTTGATTAGAGGCTAGTTAGAACCCTCTTTATTATTTACTATAATCTCTAGTTATAATTATAGAGAGGTATTATATATCTATAGTAAAGGAGATAATAGTACCCTTAGTAGTAGGCTTAGTAAAGGAGGTATTATAGAGGCTTTATTTAAAGATAAAATAAAGCGTTAGCGATATCTAGAGGGCTTAGAATAAGTATATTTAATAGTATTATTATATTTAAGGGTATTAGTAATTATAGAGCCTTAGGGGGCTATTTATATTACTTTATTAGCTAAATATAGCTAGTCTTTAGCTTAGAATTTATCGAGAAACTCCTCGAGAGACTTATATATCTAAGAGATAAGTAAAGGTATATAATTGCCCTAGCTAATCTTAATAATAAAGCTATATATAGAACTTAACCCTTACTTAGTATGCATTTACCCTGGTCGGGCAGAGCGAATAGCCTATAAGGGTAGAGAAAATAGCCATCCTCTACTGAAAATGCCGGCCCGGTGGTCAAAGCTCCTACCCTTCCGCGATCGCGCTGCATCTTCCCTGCAGCAAAATTTTAAATAGAGAAAATTAAGAGCGAAGAACAGGGCGCACGCCAAGCATGCGCGGCGGTCCGTCAGCTATGAATTCCACGGCCTGGCCCTTTCCATGACCCTGTCTCAAGCGCTACCAATCAGTGCGTCACAGCGATAGACGGCGCTGGCAAGAGTCATCAAGAATCATCCGCGCTGCTGGAGCACGTTGTCTGCCCAGCACTCCCGGTCCAGTCAGGATTCGGTTCTGTCCCGGCGTCACACTAACTAGGCCACCCTACCTTGAGGTAGCTTACCTTGCCTGCCTTGCCTTGCCTTATCCTTGGGTCCAGTGACCCTAAATTCCCTCTTCTTGTGGCCCGCCTCTCCTTAGGACATCTTTTTTCTCCCACCTCATCGTTAACCTACTTTCCAACGACGGGACTGACGTTCCCCTTTGCCAATTGAAGCCATGGCTTCTTCCTCCTGCGCCATGAGTGCGCTGCGTCCTGTCCAGTTCGCTCCCCGAGCCTCGTCGATCTCGTTTTCGTCGGCTGCGACCACAAGGGCTTTCGCGACGTCATCACAGAGGACTCTCAAGTTTGTCCCGACTTCGAGGCCTCACGCGCCCTCCATCGCCAGGCAAACGACCCTCGCGCGCCAGTTCCAGCGTGCCTACGCCGATGCCGCTGCCCTGCCATCCCCCCAGAAGCCTGGCAAGGTTCGCACCACCTTCAAGTGGCTCTGGCGATTGACCTACCTGTCGGCCATCGGCCTTACCGTCGGAGTTGGCTACACAATCTACGTCGACAGGAACCCCCAGCCTCAATTTGAAGCGGACCCGACCAAGAAAACTCTCGTCGTCCTCGGTATGCGCAACCATGCCCGCGGTATTCATGTGACCAAAGCTGACTGAAACGCAACAGGCACCGGCTGGGGTTCTGTCTCTCTCCTGAAGAAGCTCGATACCGAAAACTACAATGTCATTGTCATCTCGCCCCGAAACTACTTCCTCTTTACGCCCCTGCTGCTTTCGTGCACTACGGGT